ATATGCTTTGGCCTTATACATTATGTACTGTAGTTGTCTATTTAGTAGTTGTACAATAATTCATAATGTAGAAACTATATAGTATTGCTTCCATGCTTCTGAGTATTAATGGAATAGGTTGAATGAACAAAGATGAGCCATGTCATCATCATCATCATCATCATCATCATCATCATCATCATCATCATCATTCGTAGTAGTTTCAGAGCATAACTGTTTTAAGTTTCAATTTAATGCAATATCATTCTGATGGAAAATAATCTTGCAACACGAAGGGTTCTTTGTAACAACGGGGAGTGCAGAGGTGTTGTTTTTCTGAAAGCTCCCAAAGTACAAATAAAAAGGCTTTTTTAAAAGTATTTATATCAATAACAATAATGGTTACTTGCAAATTCTGCCATTCTACTCTGCTGCCAGCATTCTGCTGACCTAGTTTGGATCTACAGAGAAGAGTAAAATTACCCAGATTGTATATCCTGTAGCTTGAATGACAAGATTATTCAGTCTGCTCTCAAAACATTAGGTTTCTTTCCATTTAACCAGTAAATGACCAAGAGAAAATGTATTGGTGTTGTGAGATAAAAAATGATTTTTTAATTTTGAAACAAAAAAACATTATCAGTACTGTGATGGAATAACTTTTATTCCAGCATACAGTATATGAGTTTCATTGTGTGTTTTTTGAAAATACCAAGCCAAAAACATATGATTCATACACTGTACATTTTATCTTTTTTATTTACATGTTTGTAAAAGCCATAATTTAATTTCACTGCTGGATTATGGACCTCCCTTCTATTGCACAGCAAGATAAATTTATCACTGTGTCAGAATTCCCTGTAGGCTCTGCACTTCCAAATGATGAAAATTCCTGCCCAGAGAAGAATCCTTGCTTTTCTGTTTTCACAAGCAGTGTAGAGAGAATAAGTACAGAGGAAAACAAAAAGGACTCACTAGTTGACTCCATGGATTAACCTTTCAGAAGACAGGTTTAATGGGGCTCCTGTACAGTTTTGTGCTCAGTGAAGATACCATGCTAAAGGAGTCTACTGATCTTCTTTAGGGGTTGAAACACTAGCAGGACTTCTCTACTGTATATCTCCCAATTACAAATCAGCACAATTCCCTGGCCTCTCCGAGCCGATGCTTTAAAATTCCATATAAAGGGAAGTCATTCAAAAAGCCATTAATTTAATAACTACTGTATATCAGCAACAAACTGTTTTATTTTCCATTTATTAAAATGTGTTACATTCCAAATTATGTTACAGCACAAATAATTACTATATAATCTTTGCAGTAGAATGCTTTGCTAAGTGTTTAACCAGTATGTTAAGAGCAGATTAATAAAATAATCAGATTCATGTCAGTTTTCAGATGTAAAGGTATCTGAAAAGGATTTTTTTTAACGGAGGTCGAAATTCATTATCGTGTGAAATGTTAATGAAAGTGAATTTTCTTCAAATATTTTGGCTAATAATAATAATAATAATAATAATAATAATAGCTGAGGAAATTAATAATATGTGGAGCAAAAAAATGCTCAAAATAAAGTAAATACACATTAAAAAACAAACAGCAGTGCTAGCCCAAAGCATATACACACATCTCACTCTGCCCAGATTACACTATCATTATACTAACCCAATTACTTCATACAGGAAACAGTCACTTAGCTGCAATTATTATACCAATTTTACGGGGAGCAAAATATTTCTTGTATGCATTTATTTGGCCATAGGTTCCTAAAATGCCTCCCTGAAGGTATCATTTGAAATAGTTCAAAACATGTAACTTTCTTCATGCATACATTAATGTGACAAATGATAATGGCTTTAATGCACCCACTCACATAACAGCTATAAATATTTCTCTCACTAGACTGCCTTGTATTCATCCCAATATCAGCTGTTAAGAATTACATGAAAAGGCAGAGTCAACAACAGACACACAAAAATAGCAGGTTTACGTGAAAATAACTTTTCTTCACTTGTGAAATGATAGTATCATTATGCATGTGTTTGATTCAGGCATTGCATGCAATGTAGCTGTACTGTAGGAAGTTATGTCTTTCTTCAGATAAACTACTCTCCAGTGTTACTAAATGAGGTTTATAACTAAATATTTGGGAGGGATTACAACAGCCAAGTTCAATCAGACTCAGCTGTCTGTAATTCTTAATCTAACCTGATGCCATTTGCCTAAAACATTATCAAAACTGTATGCGATCAACTCTTTCCCTTCCATACTGTATGTGTTTTGCATTCTTCCTCTATCCCTTCATCACCACCTCTGCAGCTGCCCCTTGGTCACTCCTCATGCTGCAGGGGGTCCCAGCCTCCTCGTCCAACAGCCAGGAGGTCTGCCCTCAGCCCTGAGGGTTAAGCCAAATTCATTATGACTAAAACACTCAATAAACTGTTCAATACGCTTGATTCCTGGGTGTTGTTTTCCCTTGTGGAAAAAAATAATATCTGTAGCAACCTTGAATCCACCAAAAAGAAATTGCATTACTATGAAAAAAATGTGACTATTTTGTCAAATGTATTTTATTATAGAAATTTAATTTTCAGTTGAAATCCAAGCTACTCTTGACTAACAAGTAAGCAGAAAAATATTTTAACCAAATTCTCAGTTAGGTCTGATATGAATTCTTGATAGAGAGGTAATGTTTGATATAGCACTTTAAATGTGTAAAGGAAATAGTTCTGTATACTGTATGTTTTCAGCTTCAGTACAGATCTTAGGGAGACGAGAGCAGTGGATATCTCCAATAGCCTGTCTTCTTGGTGTAAAATCGAATCCAGTGTACAGTACCTGCTATTCTCCTATAATCCCAATGTAAATAGTGGGAAGTGGCTAACAATCTTTAACTTTGTACTCTCTCACTGCCTTTTCGTACAATTCACAAATTTAACAGAACCCTCCTCCCCTCCCCTCAACAGCATAATGTTGTTTAGCTGCGTTTCTGAAAGCTTTTCCCCAGGTTTGTATGGGGGATTTCTTTGTATGTTCTGAATGATTTCTCTGGGAGGATCCACAGTGTGTCATGTGTGGTGTGATGAGTGGCCTTTTCTTGCAGCGCTATGTGTGTTTCAAACACCCCACAGAGGTCAAGCCTCCTGAAGATCTGCAGGACCTGGGCGTGCGCTTCCTGCAGCCCTTCGTCAACCTCCTGTCAAAGGGCACCTACTGGTGGATGAACACGTTCATCACCTCTGCACACAGGCGGCCCATTGACCTAAAGGTGATCGGCAAGCTGCCTATCGCAATGAGGGCCCTCACTAACTACATGGTCCTAAGGAAAGCTTTTGAAGCACAAAAGGTAATGAGACCCAACAGCCCTCTCTTCGTATAGACCTGGTAGGAATCATGTGTTTAAGATGCAGAAAGATGCTCACCATTCATGCTTTTCAGACTGTGACATCAAATGGTTCTAACTGAAATCATACTGTATATACAGTAATACATGTAAATATATCTACTATACACTGTATTTTAATATATGCCATATCCTTTATCCCATTATTTTACGTGATATTCTTCTTATATTTTTGTGTCTGTGAACATTACATCTGCTTTTGAGAAAAGGGGTAATGGAATATTTTAGGATATTAAAGGAAAGTATCAGATTGGCTTCAACAGCTGAACATTTCCTACCGAGGATTGAGTTCAGGCTCTACGTTTGATTGCCTTCTGGGTAACTGAGGGTGCATTTTCCCATATCTGCAGATGGAAACTATTTCGATTTCACTTTGAATGAAGTGTTTTTTTCACCTTGTTGGTGATACAGTAAATGCTTTATTTCCACGGGAATACAGCAGAACTGGCTAGCAATTAAAAGTGGGGAAAAAATGTGTTTCTGTCCTTTTTAAACCCCAGGCAAATAAGTTATTTTATTGTGTCCCACTATCATTGAAGTGCTGCAACATTCGCCCTGCTCCTAATGCAGCAATTCTTTAACCATGAAGTGTGGCACCAGCTTGATTCCTTTGGGTGACAGAATCAGCTTTAAAACTCCTGAATGCAGCAGTTTTATATGAAGGTTACTAAATACATCTAGAAAGATGACATACATAAAGGCAAGAGTATAATGATATATAACTATGTAAAATGTACTGGAATTATTAGAGAACTGTGAAATCAACAACATTATGATGATGTAACTACTGTATTTCAGAAGATTTTATTGCAGTTGTATCTTTGATATGAGTAAAGATTACCTCCTCATTCGAGGTCAAGTTTTTGGAGAAAGATATTAGTGAATGCAGATTTACTGTAAATACTCACCATCTGTAAGCAGTGTATTCTAGTGCATTATACAGTATACTGTATGTACAGTATAAATAAGAGTGGGTTCAGTATACTGTATGTATAAATAAGAGTGTTTTTCAGAACCTCTGGTGCACTTCTCTATACACATAATGTGCTGAAGTAGAATGTAATGTTGGCTGCTGTCAACAGCTGTGGCTTAGTGTTTTCACTTAATGCTTTCTTTATGGTGCGTCATCCCTGAAGAATAAAGGGCCCTTCATGTGTAAAAGGAATTTAGGGATGGCTATAAGTATAAATAAATATAAAACCTTGGAAGTGTTGCAGTCGTTGTGCTGCATTAAGAGATCCGTCCTTCTGATGCTGCAGAAACCTGCCCTCTCTGGGACTCTGACGTCACTGACAGCTGGGGGGTGGGGTGGGGGGGTCGTGTTCGCATGCCGTTTGAAATGGATTCACTCCTGTGTTGGAACAGACAGATAGTGGAAATAAATATCTGGGCTCAAAGCTCTGTTTTTTTTTTTCCTTTTGTCAGAAAAAGGGCTCCTCATACCCGCAGGGGCCAAAGTCAATCTGGGGGGCCCTGCGCCACGCCTTTGGAAGGCCCCTCATTCTCAGCATCACATTCCGCTTCCTGGCAGACCTGCTGGGGTTTGCTGGGCCACTCTGCATCTCCGGAATCGTGCACCACATCAGCAAGGACAACAAGACCATCATCCCTCCAGTACGGCACATTTTTCCTTTTCCCGGCTTTACAGTTTCCTTCAACAGATCCCAAACTAACGCTGTCTTCCCACTGTTGTTTCACACATGACGCATTCGTTTGGGATACAATAACTGTACTGTTCAAGCTGTTCGGATTCATTCCTCATCATGTCTTAAGGAATATACTGTACAGTAGTAAAATAGGTCTTCAGTAGGTAAAGTTGTATTTACTTCTATAATTATCTAGATAATTAGGCTAAAATTTGAAAATGAAGCTTTTGCAATTAATGTGATACCAATTAAGAATGTTTGATTACTATTAAGTATAAGTGCATACAGAATATTTATTTTTCTTCATGAGGATTCTTAAGTGATTAATATGTAATATAATTGCAAAAGTTGCAAATGAGATGCACTGAGTTTACTGTATGTACCTTTATGAAAACCATGTTGTTTATGTTTCTTATGGATAACAGTAATACAGTGTTCTAGAGTGCAAGCTAAGATTTTCTTTGTGTTTGATTTTCTAAACGGTCGATCTATTTTGTATGTGTTATACTAGCCAGCTGTTTAATTTATCTGAAAAGGGCAAAAATACTGTTTTCCTGAATGTACTGTAAGTATTAAAGATATTAGGGACTGCAGTTGGATGCTCTAACTGCTATACATCACATATCCTGCTTCAATTTAGAAGTGAAATATTTATCTAACTTGATTAATCATTAATATGAATGATGGCTTGTAGCCATGTAACTGATTCTAAAATTTCATCTATTTTTATCATGCATTGATCCTTAATGACTGCCATTGTCTGAATAGAATTGCTTTCCCATCTCAACAGCTCATATGACTAGTTAAATTCAAAGTCATTTTCAATGGGGTCAGGGGTGAGTTCCTCAAATTATTTTATGTTAGTAAACAAAATAATTGAACATAGTTAACAAACTACCATGGAAATAAGATCATTCTATGAAATAAAATGGAATTTTTAGGTTGTTGGACTCAGGATGTAAGAGATTGCTTACAAATGTAAGATCCACTTCACAGAACATTATGGAGAATGAGTGAACAAGAAATGAGACCAGACAGAAACAGACTGAAGGGAATGTGGCTGGACCTTAAAGGCAGGAGACATGATAGGGACTGATACATTTTTAATAGTTTTAGGGAAAGCTATGATCCGATAGCTCTTGGGACCAATGTGCATTCTAGCTTACAGAGGAACAAAGAAGGTGTTTTTTTCATCGGTCTTCCTGACACCTGAACCATGTTCTGCACATTATCATGTCAGAAACTTGATAGATGGCCTCAAAACAGAGAGAACTTTATTCATGTAAACTATTTTCTCTAGAACGATACATTTTTTAAGTGTATGCTTAAACTCTCTAGTCTATTATTTAAAATACAGACTACACTTAAGAAAACATATCAGTCTTCTTAGTTCTTAGTCAAAGGTGAAGATTTTAAACAGTAATTGCATCTTTGTGAAATTGGGTTTTTTGGAAACAAATCTGCAAAACTACAAATGAAGTCTCTCTTAATTCCTTCTAAGTTATTTTTCCAAAGGCATTAAATGGAGTCTGTGTAAGGGCTCATAGGTATGTTTAAGAAACAATTAGGTAATCCGCTTGACTAAAATTGCTTAATGAGCTGCAAATGGTCAAATAAACCAATATTTACCAAAGGCAGCTGTTTCAGAGATAATCAGCTGGTTCACAATCAGCACAAACGGTAAAGATTTTCATCCTATGCATTACACCCAAGATATTTCATTTAGCTTATTACCAGTCTGATCACTTATTCTGAGACTCAGTAACACTGTTCCTAGCACTGCTGCTCATTCAAAGTGCCATTAAATGTCCTGTCAGACAGTGGTCTGGGTTTGAGTCTCAGTCACTGTGAATCTGTAAAGATCTCATCTGCTGATAACTCACTTCTAACATCTTATACAAGTGTAAATTTCACTTTCGCTTCTAAGATACAAATCTCAGAAGTGTAATAAGTCTCTTTCTTTTGCCTCCTTAATGGCATTTATGTGATTTCTGTCTCCTTGGTGCAGACACAGAATGATCCATGAATCTCGAGCACCATGCTACTGTACCTCGCACCTTCATTTGTACATGTGGAATGCTCTGATTTTTCCTTGCATGAGAATCAAACTTAAAGGATAAGTTTTTGCGAAAAATAACATTTATTCATGTACTAGCATTTTATAGGGAATCATACTACTATTGCACTTTAATAGTATTATGTTAACAACACAGCACACCTATATTGCCGTTTTCAAGCTATAATTCTGCCTGGGCATGTTTGGGGTTTCCAGATTAATTCTTGTGTTCTGGCTGTGTTGTAGGTGAAACTTCTGGGAGCGTATTTCATTTCTTCCCAAGAGTTCCTGGCCAATGCCTATGTCCTGGCTGTTCTTCTGTTTTTTGCCCTTCTCCTCCAAAGGACATTTCTCCAGGCATCCTATTATGTGGCGATTGAAACAGGGATTAATCTGAGAGGAGCAATACAGGTAGCCAACCAGGAAATGCACTCCTGCAGCTCTCTTCACTGATAGAAGCCAATGTTTCTAAAGTCATGTTATTTCCTTGTACAAACAGTGTGAGTAAGCCTCCCAGCCCTTTCAAAAACAGAGGACAAATGTTTGCCGAAGCCTTAAGAAGTATTAGTGTCACTTTCTTTATTATGAGGGATAGGAGAAAAGCAAGAAAACTGATTCCAAAGTGAAAGATCAATGCACTGATCTCCTTCATTGTGAAAAAACATAGCTTATTCACAGCTGTTCTAGAAACTGATTTAATTCAAAGGTTATGTTTAGGAAGCCCCTGGCCAAGAGAATTATACCAGTACATAAACTGCCTCTTTTCAGTAACATATTTTAAAGACAAAGTTGGGTTTACTTTTGAAGCCTTTTAATTAAATTAGTTCATTGATATTTATACCATACTTTCTTGTTCTAATTTTTCATCTTATTTGGTCTGGTGCTTTGATGTTAACTTTACCTGCGCCTTTTAAGAGAATCCTAATGTAATGTTTATCTTGATCTTGATGCTCCCTAAATTGTAAATGGCAAAACACCAAACTGAATTTTTACTTTAAGGTCAAACTACACCTTACTGTATGTTTTAAGGTGTCTTATTCTTTGTTACAATATGTGCTCCCAAAAGTAAAGTTTTAATACTAAACTTACAATACATGTATAAATACAAATACAAAAATATTATTTTCTCCAGCTAAATCGGGATCACCAGATCATAGGGAAACATCAGATTACCAGATACTTCTGTTTTTGTAAAAATAAACCAACAGGTTTTAGTCTTAGTCATTTGTTATGAGTTTTCCTTCAAAAAAAATAAAAGCAGTGTTTTGTTGGTTGATTCTGATTTTTTTTCCACAAATACAGTATGCATTGTGGTTAACAGTTCTGTATTTTGCCTTGCTTGAATAATTACAATGTGTATCCGTTGTCTCCATTAGACAAAGATCTACAATAAAATCATGCGTCTTTGCACTTCAAACATGTCAATGGGAGAGATGACAGTGGGACAGATTTGTAACCTGGTTGCCATAGATACAAATCAGCTGATGTGGTTCTTCTTCCTCTGCCCTAACCTCTGGGCTATGCCATTTCAGGTAAGACAATCTCTCCATGCCTTTTTCAGATATGTTGTAGAATGTGCTCTAGTTGCTTGCGGCGCAGTTTTGAACTTGTATTAAGTTACTGTTCCTCCATTACTCAAGTTACTTATTTTCTAATTTAATTACTTAAGTCTGAAATAGATTTTTTTTACATGAATAGTCCTATTCTTTCAGCAACCTAAAAGATACATTTGCTGTTCCAAGAGAATTGCACAATTTTCATGTTGTTCTCATTCTACATGGCATATATATCTTAGAACAGTGTGCAATAAAATTGAACTAATTCAGAAATGCTGGATATGTCAAAGAGACATGAGTCTCGTTGTACCCTCTCCATTGTTGTGACACCCCCACAGATGTTCACAGCACTTTCTCCCTCTGGTTGCAGACCACTGTTTCTCAAATTAGCTGATGTCCTCACATCTACTGTGCTCAGAGAGAAGACATGTTTCCTCACCTTGCTAGCAAACAACAGAATGCTACCTTAATAATGCATTAAGGGCACATACTATATGTAGACTTTACCATTTTCTACTACAATATTTGTCTAAGGTGCTACACTGAGAAAGGGCAAGAACATTGAAACTTTTGGGAAACAGAAGAGACATTTTCCTTCAGCTTAATGTGCAATTCCTGTATTGATATTGCGATTATTATTAGTTCAGAGATAAAACAATTTAAAAACTGCACGTATAATGTATCTGATTCTGCTGAGTCAGCTCCTATAAGGCGAAAAGGTGGCATTAGACCACTCGGTGGTTTAGATTAAAAGTAGATTACTACAGTAGGCTTGAGTTCATGAGATTCTCTTCATGAGAAAAGACTGCTATATACTGTACAGTAGGTCATTGCGGGAGTGCTGCTGCAGAATGAATTACTGCTGGCACTCAGGTCAGCACTCTGGGTCCCTATTTCTTGTGCAGCAAAGAGGTACTAAATCCACAATGCAAGCAATGATCATATATAAGACGTCTACATGTATGACTTAGAAAATATTTAGGGAAAATAATGAAAAATCAAGTAATAGACTAATCAAGCAACATCAATGAAAGACATCAAAGGTTTGGCACTTGGAAACCTGTCTAGAGCTGACAGACAGTACAGGGGATTGTTGATTAAGATATGAACAGCCTAGAGGTTGTATTTAATAGGAAAAACAGGCAAAAAGGATTTTGAAGTCTCCTGGAGAAAAGCCATTGCCATCACAATCTGGAAGGTATCTATCCAGATGAAGATGTTTTACAAATAGGGTTAAGATAAAAAAATTAAACATTAGTTACTTTTATACTTGTGAACCTGCAGAAGTGCAATATTCATCATGCAATGTTAGTTGTTATCTGCAGAAAAAGTAATTAACCCAGAACATTTAAGCAAAAAAAAAAACTAAATCATTCTTATTTCATTTCTTTCTCTAGCTCAGGGATAGATAAAAATTCTTATTCAGACAAGTTGCATGTTTAATAAGCAGTGCATCTCAGCTTGGGAGTTGAGTGATTGGGTGGTTTCATTTTGCAGAGCATTGTGAATTCCATGGTTGATTGATTAAATAGAAAATGATATTGTTGCAGATTATTGTCGGAGTGATTCTGCTCTACTACCTCCTGGGAATAAGTGCCTTGATTGGAGCCACAGTGATCGCAGTCCTGGCACCAGTACAGTACTTTGTGGCCACCAGACTGTCCCAAGCACAGAAAAGCACTTTAGTGAGTACATGACAATTTTACAATGTTTACAAGACAATGTAAACATGCAAACATTCTGCTGTAAATTCCTACTTTTCCTGGCACTTATAAAGTGATAGGACATACAGTACTGTTAAATATCTTATAAAGTAAAAAAGTCAGATTTCAGTTGTGGATTATACAGAAATGCATGATGGTCCAGGGTTTCTTTGTTAAAATTTACAGTATCGCTGCAGTTAAAACCCTTTTTACATATTTACTTAAAGTGTTTTAAATATAAATGAAATAATAGAGGATAAGAATAATACTGTATGAAGATGTTTTTTCCTCATTAGCAAGAATGCTGCTCGTTTTAGTTAGTTCTGAGATGTGTTTCTTAACATTTATTTTCAGCAAAAATTGTATTTGATGTGGAAATTGGTGTGAAAACACAATCATACATACTGTAAATTGATTGGTTTAAAATGATGATGGATGATGGTGCTAAATAGTATTAAATCCACAGCTATTTGAAAAGCAGTGCACCTCAGAACTGTGACGCAACAGACTCACAATTCCTTAGAGATTTTCTAGATGTCACTGCAGTGAAAGTATTTTTTTTCCTATAGAAACAATTATTTTGGCTCACCTTATGTTTTTTGTTATCAACACAATAATTTATGGAATGGAAGCACAGCCTGCAGCATGTACAGTTGGCTTTTGCCTCCATTGTGGAACCATGTCAGCTGTTTGGGGATGGTCCCTCAAAGCACCTCACTCGCCCATCTGACCTACTGGCCCCCCACTCTGCTGTCAACAGGAGTATTCCAGTGAACGGCTGAAAAAGACCAATGAGCTTCTGAGAGGGATCAAGCTCCTGAAGCTGTACGCCTGGGAGCACATTTTCCATGACAGTGTGGAAGAGACGCGACAGAAAGAGCTGACCAGTCTCAAAGCCTTTGCTCTTTACACTTCCATCTCCAGTGAGTACTTGCTGGGTTTGACGTTACATTGCACTGCCCGAGCCCCTAAACACGTACAGTATGTGTGTAGAGTCAGTTTTGGAAAAAAAAATTAACATCGGGCCTGTTCCTTAAATCTACTACTTTATGGTATGAGCAAAAAAAATCAGTAGTTCTTAGAAAATGAATTTCTTAGTAATTTCTTAAAGTTAAAGTTACAGCTTGTGTTTATAACTGTAAAAAGAACTAGCTTCTCTATTTGTTTATTCTTTTAACTGAAAACAGTTACAGTATGTGAACATACAGTATACAGTACTAATATGTCTACCATTAAGGTTATTATTGTCCATCAAAACTGTTATAGTAAACACTCTTTATGTGCTTTCCAGTTTTCATGAATGCAGCAATACCAATCGCAGCAGTACTTACTGTAAGTAAAATTGTATTTATACTCGAGATTAAGGTATAATTTAAAATATCTTCTATCAGAGCATTAACATGGTGAGCATGATTTCATTTTAAGTGCTGTATGACTGGAATGTTAATGTGGTGTTCCTCACAATTTAGCACAAATGTGATTTCTTACTTTCTAGACCTTTTTGATATGTTGAAGTCACATTAACAATCATATGTTTCTATTTTACATTTAATGGGCATCTTAATAACAAGAAAACAAAGGGTTAGTAGCAAGAAAGGCATCTGTCCATCTTGCTCATGAAGTTAGTAGTAGCTCATTGTTCCAGGAATTTCTTCAAGTTGTTCATTGAAAGACTAGACTACACTCTAGTAAGTGCTTTAATGCTCTTTAACTGAATCTGTTGTGGGAAATCATTAAAGTTCAAATTACCTGCTTTGTAATAAGCTGACCGCTGCTCACAAGCCCTTAATATGCCTTTGTGTTATCCACTTTATTCTCTGTCCTTCGATTCTGTGTTATGTTCATATTAGTTCATGTAACATTCATGTATCTCATGTACATGTCCCGTAGAAGTATCGTTTTTTTTTCATTTAGGTGAGTTTAAAAATGATCCTCTTTTCAGAGCAGAATCCTCTGCTCCCTCACTATTTCACTTCCTCTCCCCCCATAGTCACATTTCTCTTCTTCGTGGTGTACTGTGCCCTTTACTTCTATTGATTTATCTGCCCTCACATGTTTCGGTTAACAAATAATTGCAATGTGGCACCTATCCTCTTCCTCAGAATAGCCCACTATAGATTTCTGTTTTCTGCGCATGGCCATGTAATCTCCCCATGCCAGGCTGGGTCTGGATAGCGGAGGGAAAAAACAAGAGGCAAAGGAGGTATTGTCTTCGTTGGTGCCTTGTACAGTGTAGGAGAACGGTGATGAGAAACCCCTTGTGTGTGTTTGTTTTTGCTGCTCTTTGAAGACCTTTGTGGTTCACGTGCACCTGTCTGAGGATGCTGACCTGTCTCCTGCTGTGGCCTTTGCTTCCCTCTCCCTCTTCCACATCCTGGTGACCCCGCTCTTCCTTCTCTCCAGTGTGGTGCGCTCTACTGTCAAAGCTCTCGTCAGGTGAGAAGCTAGAACGTTGTCTGGTAAAACTAGGGCTTTCCAAGCCCAGGGCCAAAGGACAAGATGGTCTAGGACGATAAGTTTCCTTAAATCACCAAGAACATTAAACCTTAGAAACAGAGCTACAGTATATTAGATGAGGTAAAGTGTTGTCCACCTGCATAGTTTTGATGGTGCACCCCACTGAAAGAGCCTCATACTGCAGACCCTGCTGCCCTTTGGTACTGTAGCTCTTCCCTAAACTGTTTCCTTCCAAATTAGTTTATGCCCTCTCACCCAACAAGCACAAATGTATACAATCTGCACAAGACACGGTAGATTATTTGAAAGACCAGGTATTATATTTACAAAACCCTCCCCTCCTTAAGAAGAGCTAAAAGAAAGTCATGGATGTGAATTTGGAAAGTGTTTGTGCTGATCAAATACCTGAATGCTAATCATTCAATACTGTAGCATTCAGGTATTTGTATTTGATCTAAACATACACCTTATTTTTTTAACAAAGAGTAAGATGAATGCCTGGTTAAATGTGTATCTACTGCAATAACAACGTTTTTTGTCTTATGTCAAATTATGATTCTCTTTCTACAGTGCAGCTCAAATACTGCATTATTGTATTTAACAAAAAAGACTTTGTGCCTTTATTGAAGTTACAATCTTGTATTCTGTAACAACACAGTGCAATGTGATCTCCCTCACTGTGAGCTGATGAAAAATAGATGTGTCAAGACCATGAGGTGATATTCAGTCTCAACTCCGCAGGATAGTTCTTTTGTGATATTGAAAATTGCTAACTAGGAATTTCATTTAAATCCTGTTTTTAACTTGCATAATAAACAGGCTTTAGCTATACAACCTGTAAAATACGAACTGGCATTTTAACCTCTCACTGTGTCTTAAGAAATGAACTAACAATGAATGGGGCAAAGAGACTGGCTTGGAAATGTGTCACTTTGTCATGAATTATTTAAAGCAGAGGAACACTAGAGAAATGTGCTTGGGTTAAGCTCACAGGAGTCTAGGTTTTGCAATCAATTATGGTCTGCATTTATTTCAGGAAGGTCAATATCAACATGATGAGGAAAAACAGAATTAAATGTCTGAAGTAAATTGCATGTGTATCTAGCAAGAAGGGAGTGCAAAACATCCAGTTTAATAAAATTAAAGGCTGAAAATAGCTGTAATACAGGATGACAGAGCACAAATCAATTTTAATAAGCATTAATGGCTCTTATGTTTTATTTTCCTTAACATGACCATTGATTCAGTAAAGGCAACCTCTTGCTGTTAAGTAATAGACCATAGTTAATAGCTCTTTACTGCATGGAAGGTGGGAAGGTTAAAACTATTTAAATAAAGTCTCAGGATTTATGGAAACATAATTTCACTGTTGGTGGTTAAATTTGCTGTTTTGTCAGGGATGATTTAGTTACATCTTGCCTGACTCTTCTAGTTAATAAGCCTTCCCTAGTAGCCATATTAAGTATTTTTTCTTGCTTTTAAATATATATTTATATTTTTAGATGTGGACCTTTTTCTACTTATAGTATATAAATTGTTTTTTTCATCCAGATTTTTAACTACAATATTTAAACTACAATATTTATTCTATGTTTAAATCTAGAAAAACCTTAAAATAAAACTAAGAAAAATCGTCACTGTTTGATGAATTATTAAAAAGCATTATTATAAAATCTTTATATTAAGAAAACTATTATGATATTATGCCATTTGATTAATTTGAAATTTCCTTTATTTTAATGTATTCTAGATATAAAAATAGAAGTGTTAACTTGTAAACATCCCTGAAAATTTGAATCTGCAGGTCTGCAGTGGTTAACTAAACATGCTGAAGCCTAGATTTATCTGAGACAGTTGTCAGTGGATAGTCTGCATGCTTTTCATCTGAAGAGCAGTTGTCCATGACAGCAAATGCGCTCTGCATATGCTGATGATATGACAGCAGCTGCTATCGTGGGATGGATGACTAATGGGTGTCACGTTCCTCCTGCTGTATTGCACAGTAAGAAGTTGAAAGGCACTTGGTTCTGGAATAATTGGCTAATAATTACAGATTTTATGCATTTATTCATAGGTTGAAAAATGATTGCCGTCAAAGTGGTGATCTTTGTCATGCACTAATAAAATAACATTTTAAAATGTGACTTTAACTCTAACCAATTGCAAACCAGCAATGTTATATTCAATGGAGCACCTGTTAAAATCACACCAGTTCTCTTTTTAGTAATTAAAATAGGTTATGGAGAAATAGTCATATCAATAATAGTTTTTGAAAATGTTGCAATAATTTTAGTCTGACATATCTTCCATCCTACCATTAAACATCTATTAAAAATGGCATACTGGCAGAGCTTTTTAGAAAATCTAGATACATGTATAAATTAAATTTCACAAATGTTTTCATGCATCATCTAAAAAGTCTTCCTCCTAGTATGCAGAATATAGTGTGACAGGAGGAAAATGGCATTGGAAACAAATAAAAAGAGTAGATTTACAGGACATTAAGGTGTCATTGTTTCTTTTAATAATAATAATAATAAATAATAAACTTTATTTTATATAGCGCCTTTAAAGGTGGCTTCTCTAAGTGCTTTATAGGATGACAATAACAATAAATAAGAAGACTACAACAATAAATAAGAAAATTTCACAAGACAGGACACAATTATAATTACAACAATACAACAATAACAATAGAGGAGACCGTGGCTGCCTTTTTGTTAAAAGGCTCTTAAAATATACTGTATAGTGGCTTCAAGTCCGTGTGTTTTCCCTTCACCTAGTGTGCAGAAACTCAGCGAGTTCTTCTCCAGTGAAGAAATTGGGGAGGAGCATGACCTCAAGGCGACAGTTCCGCAGAGCTCTGGCAATCACAACAAATACCAGGCTGTGGTGAGTAGCAGCGAACACTGGGCAGCCGTGACTTCCCAAGAGGGCTGCCTGCCATCCCCTCACACGCCTCTCCTGCCATGATGCGCCGTAACGCGCCGTGACAGCCACACTCTTTTCACAGAGCTGACTTCCAGTCAGCAGGAGGGTTCTCTTATGGCTAAGCCAAGTTTACCCTGAGCCCCAGTGTCCGCATGAGTGCATTAATGCTTCTGTTAAAAAAATAAAAAAGGGACAATCTCCCATCAAATTGTAACACACTTTCCAAAAAATAAATAAAACATGTCTTTATTGTAAAACTATACTGTAGAGGAGACTTCAAGCTTTAAAAAAAGACAGCACTGTATATGAATCTACAAATGATTACACTTTGCTTTCTTCCATTTATAGATCAGTTTTTTCATGTTAGCATTTGATGCTCTTTCGAAACACCTTCATTTCTCATGTCTGGCAAAAGCCACTAAAGGTTGTGAACCGCAAACGGCCGGCCAGGGATGAGTGGAACAGCTTCAGCTCCCAGAGGGATAGAGACACCCCCACCACTGACGAGCGAGAGGACGTCTACATCAAGGTGAGAAGACAGTCAGCTCGGTTCGGCGGGGGACTGAGACTTTCCACAGCAATCTTGAACAGAATCATGTCCAAATGGTTCCTGCTAGATTTATAATGTCAAAATTATTAATAGCAATAAAGTAGAAAAGTTATCCTTCACCATTGTAGCCAAAATATGTACAGTATATACTAGTTGTTTTACTTTTATTTTTGCTTAACGTTTTTGTAGATGCAACACATGGATTTAATTATTTTTAAGGGAAACAAAAAATGAGATGCTTTTCATTCCTCACTGTAGGAAAACCAAAACATTCAGTGTGGTTGTGAATGCTTAGCTATATGGAAACTAAACTCCACAAAAGAATTTGTTTGTGATTGTAGGGTCATGCAAAACAGATCAACAAAGTTCCTCCAGTTTCAGCAAAATGTATTGAGAGTATTTTCCAGAGTACAAAAATGGAAGCCAATTAAGGGCTTGTTTGTTTCCTTAATCTAGATAAGCCTACAGGATTTGTGTTCCAACAGAATAAGACTTGATCACAATAGTCTGAGGTTAATTTTTAGCGTCCCTCCATAGCAGCTCCAATAAAACTGAGGTCTTAGTGTACAGTACTTGTTATCACCAATGCTGACCTCTGGTCTGCTATGTGGAGTAGATGGACAGCAGCCAATAACAAAATGAGCCAAACTCATTTAAAATGATCTGGCAGGTGATAAAGATCATGGTGGTCATTCATCCAATGTGCAGTCCTCTCTGCCCAAATACAGTGTTATGATGAAGCATGGTAGTTTTTAATTATTATTTGTGGCTCTTACTTTAACCATTCGTTTTCCTCATTTGAGAAATTAGTATAACATATCATTTTAAAAGGTAGACTATTTTCAGAAGTACAGCAAATGCATTGAAAATGCATGAGACAGTGATCTATCAGATGTCATTGTGACTCCAAAAGTGTTACTTTTATTTGAGGTGTAGAGAGGTGAGGTTTCACATGACACGTGGATTCTGACAAGGTGTCTGAGCACAGCCAGTGCTACTTTAACAGCTGAAGGGGGTGGGGTGGAGGGAGGCAGGAGTAATATGATATTACTTCTGTGCTATTTATAAACAAGGAAATTACAAAAATACAGTATCTGAGAAGCATATCTCAAATATCTCAGGCATATCTCAGCATGTATTGTGTATAATTATTAAATAGTGAGTATTTTCATTTTGTTTTTTTCAGTAAAGATAAATCTGCAAGCTTTTTATTTTGTCATAAGAAAAACTTAAACATTACAACTTTTTAGGTGGGTTCCTAATTTAGAGGCATTCAGTCTTAATCCCACAGATGGTACAGTGGCTCCACATCATTGGCTCCTCAGAAAACCACATACTGTACACCAAATGTTTGAACCTGCCGCCAAAAAGATAATCAATTATTTTGAAGAATTGATAGCAGAATTTGTGATGTTTCATCCAGTAAATATTATTTCTGTGAGAAAATATTATTTCCAAAATACAGTTATTTTGTCTTGTGTTGAATCTTTCCAAATGTCCCACAGAAAATATTCATGTATCAGTATACCCATTGATATTGTGTGTGGAATCTTTGAGCTGTAATGTAGAACTGAGAATTAAGTATTTCACTAGAAGGTTTTGAATATAATAGCTTAAACATTTCCTGAAATTGATCTACCCAGGAAATAGCTATTCTTAAAAACAGATTGTTACTGTAGGTCCTCCTGCTTGGAATCATGCACACGTTTAAGGTTACCTTTATCACTTCACACTTAAAGTGACATTAATGCATTGTGTTTTAAAGTGTGTCTTCATCTCATTTCAACAGATAACAAATGGATACTTCACCTGGATGCCAGATGGATCACCCACATTGTCCAACATAGACATAAAGATCCCCTATGGTAAACATGCATGAGAAGTTCTAATTATGGCATTTTTTGTTTACAGACTAATCACAGCCGTCAGCATGATTAACTGTTGTACAGGGCTGGTTTTAGTCAATTGTAAATGCGTTACCATGATACCAATTCATCCTAATGCAATATATTCTCTAAAACAGAATTAACCATAGAATAGGAGACACAGGTATTGCCGCCATGAAATACAGAATAAAAGATCAGATCTTAATATTTACAGTCTTTTCTTTTTGTGTTTAAAGATTGGGTCTCACTGTAATCCCATTACCAACCTCCTTTACTCTCCACCCTCGTTCTAGAGAACCTCATGCACTGTGTTTTGCTCAAGACAAACTGAATCCATCACATGCTGGATTAAGCCATCAATCCCTCAAGATTAGATTAATACCCCAATGACTAGTCACCCTATAAGGGGAAATTGTTCCACCTTTAACACATTAAAACTTCTATTCTTAATAATGACAAGAATCAAAGCCGACAGTGAACTTACTGTTATGTGTTTATTCTCTAGGTCAATTGACAATGATTGTGGGACAGGTGGGCTGTGGGAAATCCTCACTGCTTCTTGCTGCACTTGGAGAAATGCAGAAGATTTCAGGGATTGTTTACTGGAACAGGTGTGGGGCAGTATTTCTTCTGACTTTAGCTAGTCTCTAAACTCTGTATGCCAAAGTTTATACTGTACATAGACTAGACTTCAGTAAACCACCACCACATTTGGAAATAACACCTGTTTCATTTGGAATTGCACACAACACTGGCAAAATGTGGGGTTAATAATTTTGCATATGAAATCCACAGACCTGATTTGTGGAACTGCAGCTTGTTTCTGTCTCAGAGTCTGTCTGAGCCACCACAGGAAAGAGGTTTTACTGGGTGGTTTTGCAAGGATTGGCTAAGGAAAGGCCACATGGAAACAGGGATCTTATTTCCACTGATTGACAAGAAGGTGATGCATGCCTTGGGGAACCATTTAATTGTATACAGTTTTGTGGGCATGTCTAGAATTTATTTTTCTGCTTTAGTCTGAAGGAGTCTACATTCCTGAGTGGACTGTGCAGACTGTCCTCGGGAGGCTTCCGTAGAAAGTGGCCATTTTGGCTCATCTGGGAAACTGAGCCAAAATGGTGACTGAAGCTCAGTAATTCAGTACTGTTTTAGGAAGGGATAATTACTGTATTCCCAGTTGCTACGGTATATAAACCCTGTGGGATAGTCTTTTTTGGGGCAAAGACTAGTAAAGAGAGACAGAGAAAAAGGTATGTGACCTAAAAAGTTAGTAAACCGAATTTAAGTCATTTGCTGTGACCTTCTAGGATTTGGAATTAGTTTCGCCTCATTTCTAGGTTGGGAATAAAAGTGTAGTATGGACACTGATAAGGCGTTAGGTTTTTTGTTTTGGCTGTTCTGATTAGTACTAAAATAATTCATATTCTTGTTGGGAATTAAACAAGCTGTGGATCCATACTGTAAATAGACTCTTTATTAAAGGGCCTTCTGACAGTTAAATATTTTTTTACCGTCTCAACATTTATACACTCTAAGAAGCATTTCAGAATTGAAATGTTGAAAGCAAATTTCTTGTCAAGCTAGATGCTTAAATCTATGTAGTGTGTTAATATTGGTGAAACAAACTATATAGGAGAAATATTAGCTTCTGCACCTAAAACCAAGTAATGCTGAGTTTGGTCATCCTGAAGTAAATATTTAAATTGTCATGAATAGCAAATGATTTCCACTGTACTGTGTGCCAAAAAAGATGTTTTCAGAGTCTTCTACACCAGTTACCCAGAGTAAGTTAGAGCTTCAGTAGCAAAGATGTATCAGTGCTGGTGTAGTGTAGCTGACTGAGCAGGAATATAAATTAAGAGAAAGAGAAAACATTTTCCATTCTGGGGGATTTACCAGCAGCTCCTCAAAATATGAATTTGCTAAATAAAGTTTGAGCCATTGCCTTGTAATGCCTTTGCCTTCAAACCTTTTATGAAAGGCAAAATATATTAGAATTGAGATTAGCAAATTCACAATGTAATCAATTTTGTTTTTAGGAAACACACTGAAAAAGCACCTTCTGGCTTAGCCTTTGTCGGGTGAAGTTCATGGTGATATCTGAGAGCGTGGAGGCAGCAGTCAGTAGGCTTAGACAAAGTAGTGAATATAGTGTGAGAGGTCATGCTTCCAGGTTTCATGGTTGGGTTGGCTTGTTTCTTGCCAGCTAAGGAGAAAATAGTTCCTGTGTGTCATTTCTCTGATTTGTTGGTCCCACAGGCTCAGATCATGGAAATATATTGGAAATATATAATAAAATGTGTATATATACAGTATATAAAAGGCACACACTTGTGCAGGATGTGGACAAGCATCAGCATGCTGGAAACTGCAGACATACAGGTGCTCTTGCAGGAAAGGAAGGATATGAGGCCCCCCAAATGCTGTCTGTGAAAAACGTCATTCACCAAAGTTGTTCTGTAGTTGTTGGAGATGCCTGCCCAATTTGACAATCTGGATGATGTTTTTCATTTCTGCTGTGCCCTTTCTTAGCTTTTAGCCCGGCTAACAGAACCAGGGTTCAGAGACCAATCTTACATTAAATGAACTCAATAGACAAAAATATTGTATTTATTCTTGTTGTGAAAGTTACCCACCGTTCTCGGTCCATTCCACTGAATGCCATAACTTGTTTAAAAAGAAACATCCATCCCCGTACCAATAGTCCAGATTTTGTCACCCGCATAGTAATTCAGTGGGCAGCTTGCTCTTTCGTCTGGCTGCCTTGAATTTATTTTGTACTGTAAAATAAATGTGCCAGTGCCCGATATATGTCAGATATCACCTTCCTGGAGTGCTCCATTGCAGCTGCAAAGAGTAATAGACATCAATCTTTGCTGATTAGCTTCCCATCTGCTGCTGCTATTCTAATCACCTTCTCTCAGTAACCTTTACCTTTTAGATTTTATTTTTCACAATTTTAACTTCTTACAGTTTATGTGCAAAAATACGTATCTCATGAAATACTGTCACCTTTCTCAAAAATCACTTGTCATAATTTTGTCCTCTGGTGTTTAATTATGTTTTCCTTTCTGATAATTGAGCAAAAAAATGCTAAGTTTGTCCTTTCTTGAATAGCTTTGAAATCAAAGGTTCCTCATATAGTTATTCCATATTATCTCCTAAACCTATTTGACGTGTTTTGTTTCTCTTCTGTCACACATGTTCAAATTTGGTAGTTTTGATATTTGTTTCAAATCACTGATTCTCTAAAGCACACTTTTCCAATGTCTTCTTTCTTTTTTCTGGGCTGTTAACTTGACGTGAAGATCATATTTTCAGTTCTATAATTTTTTTGTGTGTGTTACATTTTTTTTTTTATCCTGCACTTCAATAAGAGTGCCCTGTTTAAAATGAAAATTTAAATTCAATATTTTCCAAATCATATTTGTTAAGCATATAATATTAAGTATTAAGTTATTTATTAGAACTTTTCCCTGAAGCAATTCCTGGTCGTCAAACTCCTCTTAAACTATTGAAAATAATTTGTCATGTTTGACATCTTGTCCTAGCAGTCTTTCCAGTCATGATTCAGAGGGGGATGAAAGGTAAGGATCTTATACTTGCATTTGATACGAATGCATCGAATACAGTATTTAGAGCTTGATTAGCTTACATTTCTTCATTCATACAACACATTCTGTAGTATTTGTTCTTCACAAGTTACAGATGGTGTCTTACAAAGATGGGCTGAGTGAGGGTGATGGTTGTACATTATTGATTTTTCTATGTTCATGTTTTGTATCTTAGACATGTTAAACCTATAAACTCAAATCACTTTCATGAACATTTAGTGTAGTTCCAACATACAGTATTGTCCTCTACATGTTACATCAGGCTGTGCTGTGAAGCCCGCCTTGCAAATCAGGAGTTCTGAAAATATGCAATTCTATTCAGTCAATTGAACCAGAATCCCACTGCTTAATTTCCATCACATATGTAAAAGGAATTTCATGCACATTGAGCAAGTGTTCTGTTTGTTAACTGTATATACTGTACAGCATGTAGGCAATTACAGTATATTAGTTTTTATAATCAGTTGGAAGAATGTTTATACTGCAGAATTAAAATAAAATAAAAATAATTGTCCTGAAGCACAGGTATGTAATGTGCATCAGTGGGGGGGGGGACAAAGATATAGCACTTGTTTTAAAACTATTTGTTTGGGGGCAGCTGACTTGATAGCTTGTGCTTCTTTATGTCGAGGACAGTAGAGATCAGGGACGGCTCAGGATGATAAACCCAGGCTCTCGGCAGCTCTGCAGTGAGAGGGAACAGCAGGAGGGCCCAGAGCATGCTGCCTCTTGGCTCATGACAGTGAACGTGCCTTGAAACTTCAGTGACCTGATGTTTTTCTCAAAGTCAAATGAGAACCAAGAGCAGAGACAGAGAGGCTGTTACTGTACTTCTGGCAGCTAACCAGCTTTTAGACAATAGAGGACGAGCCTCTTTGTACTCAATCATGAGGAGCCCTCTTGCTTGAAACACTTCCCCTTATCAGGGTTTGGGCTTGGCATGACAGCATTTGTTGGAAATTTAATTGGGGCTGACAAGCTACACAGCTTCAATAAGGAACTTCTTGTGTGATAAATGCTGTTTGAACACCTTTTTATTACTGTTTGCGTCTGGACATTCTCTAAAAAACACAGGGTCATCAAGTCTAATTCTCAAGTTACCTCCGATTCAAATTCATTTATTGAATTTACCCTAGCAAATATCCTACCTGTCTGTATGCAAGGCTGTCTGTATAGAATGAATGGAGTTCGAAAGGAACGCTCAGGTGAATGTCAGGGGCTACGGTTTGTCTGTTACCAGCTCACTGACATGTCGAAACCACATTTTCTTTTTAGTTTTCTGTACCTCCTTAAATAGATCAAATTGTTTCTCTCCTTAATGTCCTTCAGCCCTGACTTTAAGGAATCATTTTATATTTAGATGACAATATGAAAAACAGGATGACAAATTTAAAAGAGAAAGTATTTGCTTTGTCTAAATCATTTTAAATAAGTAGAGCAAAATTTAATTCATTTCAGTCTCTAGGATTTTTTAGCCCTCAGATGTCACAGATGTGCTGTCATTTCTAACCATGCAGTTACACTTTCACAGTGTTTCCACCATGTGCCCTGATCTCATTTGTGTCTTTTCAGCACTACAGAGAGAGACACAGCTGGAGAGGCAGACGAAAGGTATGTCAAGCAAGAACAGCCCCTTACAACTGCGTACTCACTGATGGGTATAGAAATGAAAAGATCTGATTAATAGTATTAATGATGATGTCAACAAAATTAATAAAAAAGAAAACTACAGAGGCACTGCAGTATAACAAAGGCAAAAAGGAGCATATACATAAACAGCACTTTTCCATTCCAGGTGGGGTCTGTTAGAATTGTATTTCAGATCTTTTACTGTTCTGCTCTGACAGGAAAAGAGGTTCTGTAGCCTATGCCTCCCAGAAGCCTTGGCTTTTAAATGCTGCTGTGGTAGAAAACATCATCTTTGAGATGCCCTTCAACAAACAGAGGTAACGTGCAGAGCTTTTCTGTTTGCTGTCATGGAATATACTGCACAATATTTTAAGAATGTTTTACTGCTTTTTTCCCCAGTAAAGTAGTGTTGAAGTGTACTGATTTTCATCCTGAAATGAGGCTCAGCTTTATTACCTTTGATTGGGGTTGCGTAGCGCAAGTTGCTTAGAGACAAAAATTCAGTTAAGACGGTAAAGTCTTTTCTTAGCATCAGCACACTAATCAATACCCACGGTGTAAATTCAGGACCTAAATCATTACAATAACGTCACAGATAAAAGATGGCTACAATGTAGCCTTAAAATATTAACTGTAATACATTGTTTTACATTTCTCCACTTATTTTAAAGTGGATCGGAAGAATACAGAAATCTAATTTCATTTAAACCTCTGAATAATTATTTTTTAAAATTATTAATGGTGGAGCATTGATGCCTCACATTGCTGGTGGGGCCCTGGGTTCAATTCTCTGCATGGAGTTTGTATCTTCTCCCCATATTCTTGTGGGTTTCCCCTCTGGGTGCTTTAGTTTCCTCACAGTCCAAAAACATACTGGTAGGTTAATTGGCTTTTGGGGAAAATGGCCCTGTTGTGAGTGTGTCTGTATTTGTGTCTGTATCTGTACTGCAATGGACTGTCATCCTGTCTAGGGTGTATCCTGCCTTGTGCCTGTTGCTTACTGTGATAGGCCTCTGCTCCCCCATGACACTGTATAGGGTGAAGCGGTTTGAAAATGGGTGGATAGATGATCAAAACAATCTCTCCTATTTAAGCAGTGCTAAGGCAGTCATAGGCACAAGTGGGGAAAAAATTCAATAGTCTGCCCTTTCCCCCCATGATCTTTTCTGAGCCAGAGTTTTTAAGGTACTAAGTAGATGCATACAAGATAAAAGACATAGTGCACAAGAGACTGGATGTCCCATTATTGATCACAAAGATGCAAAGATGATTTCCATGCTCTGTCCCTGGGAAAGTGTTAGGACTACACCCACAGTCTAGTAGTAATGCCGGCTTAAGTGCAGGGAGTAAAGTCAACACATAAGCATATGCTGTTTAATTCTGGCCCATCGGTAACACAGATTGTCTGCCTGACTGTCATAGTGACAGTGCAATGGCATTTCAATTAGTATTGATGCCTCTTGGCTCCATTAACTGGAATGTGAATCTAGTTTAGGTATCTGTCTGTGTGGAGTTTGCATGCTATATGTTTGGTCTCAAGGATTTTAATTCGGTGATTTTTCTTCCCATCCGTTGAAGGGTTGCAGGTTAGATTTAATTCTCTTCTATATTACCTCTTTACACGAGACGAGGGGGGTGGTGCTGGCAGTTCCCAGTAGGATCAGAACTGTTGTTGAGTGCAGGTGTGAGTAAAACAGAATCCAATGTACAGTGCAATGGATGGAAGTACTGGAAGCTTTATAAAGAATGTCCAAGAATTTCAACACAAGGATCTTTCGTACTCAAAAGCTTTTTTTTCAGGCGGCATAGTTTTGAAAAGTTTGAAGTAAAGCTTAAAATTTATATTGATCATTTGAATTAGACTTCTTATTCAGAGAATAAATAAAATGGTAGCAGTTTCAAATGTACAGTAGAACATCTGTTACATTTACTTTGGTGAGTCTGAGAGTAAATTATAGGTTTATAATGTTATTAACATTACTGTATATCCATCACAGTGATAGCAGAGATTCCAGGTTATGATGCTATAAACAGTTGGAAACCTTCCACTAATTCTTGCTTCCTCTGCATCTGTTTTAGTGATTTTCTACTCTTTTTAACTCGATATCTCCTGCATCATACCTACTCTGTGCATCTATCCTCTTCCAGCAGCAGGCAGTTATATTTTATTGAAGTAGCCAATGTTTGGCCTGAATGCATTATCAGCGTTTATTGTCTCCTGTTCCTTTTGCTTAATGGACTGTCATTGAAATAAAAGTGTACCACAGTGTTACATAATGGATATTTACCTAAGCTGAGACCTTTTCCTTGACTACAGCTGCAGTACATGAAAATAAAGAGAAAATCCTGTCACAGCATTTCTGTCAGCTCAGGTCTTATTTGTTCTGCTTTTTATGTAGTCCATTAGCTAATAAGGCAAAACACACAGATCCACTGTAACTGAAATGTGTGTTACTGTTTTTTCCGTGATCTTCACATAATCCAAAACATGATTATTACTGTTTAGCGAAGACCTTTATTCAATGTGACTTCCCTTCACAATAGGTACTGAGCAGTAAATGTACATAGTTTAAAGTAGACATTAACAGTAAATTCAGCATACTACAGTAAGTCATAAAATACTAAAACACAGGGTTGAATCCGATGATCTCGGAAAAAATATTTCTGCTTCTGTAGAATTAATTCCATATTGAAGCTCACATCCTAAGTATTTAAGTAGAAGGTTTCGGTTAATGGATTTAAGAAGGTCACACATTTCCCAGTGGTATTATTTAAAAAATTCCAGATCAATATTGTTTTAACTTCAAGGGTTTTTGCAGATTGTGCTCTGAAGATTTCTATGATAACATTTTTATAAGTTGGGAAAGGCTCTTAATTTTGCTCAAAATATTTTTATGTAGCATGCAGTTGTCCTGGACCTTTGAAATCCACAAGATTGAAAGCTTTTATTTCCACTTAAATTTTATGGGTTGCCACTGTGTAAATGATTTAATAAAATGTACAAAGTATCAGGTAGAGCTGACGTGATTGAATCTTCACTTAGTCTGTTTGATGTATGGTATCATCACCACTGTTGTCTTTTGGAGAAGATGATTCAGGATGTGACATTCAGCCATGATTTACAAAACCTATACATTGTGATCAGATCTCACTAGGCATTCATGCTTTGTTTTAAGAGTAGGAAAGTTTTTGAAAACGTTTTTTCAAATTGTGTAATTTGAATCCCTGTCTCAGATCTGTGTTTTTATTTAAAAATGTTGAGATATTCATTTTGTATTCTCCAGGTACAAAACAGTCATCGAAGCTTGCTCACTCCAGCCAGACATTGACATCCTACCACAGGGAGACCAGACACAGATTGGAGAACGGGTTGGTTGATGTCTTTCAGAGACAATTCTTCAGATCTTCCCCAGCTCTGAACATTTCATGCACTCAGAAACACCGAACATAGAATAATACAATTTTATAAGCTGTTTTTAGCTGAATTTCATTTTTTATGTTACCCTTTAAATCTACTCCATGCTGAAAAAAAGAAGAAGAAAGGCCGTGGAGCCTTCTTCAGGTGTGAAATAATAGAAGGTTCCACGGCCGAAAGGTTTTGTTTTCTTTCTTCTTTTTTTTTTTCATCATGGAATAAACCTATTACTTGTTCATTTGCAGCCTACACATGCTGATGCAGCTACCCACCTGAACTACTTTAAATCTACTGCCTCATTAATACAGTATGTGGTGTAATAGATTTCTTTATTAGCGGTTATTACTCATGCAACAACAAATTACTAAGCCTCTGCTAAATGTCTGTAAAGGTTAACTGGGTAGATAAAAAAAAAATCAGCAAAATTGAGATTGTCACCAATTTAATTATAGAATTGAACAAAAAAATATTCAATTGTATTATTGCAACAAAACATTATTTTTTGAGGTATGAATTTAAAAAGAATTATATGAAGTGTCAGTATTACATACAGTCAATCCATATATTGTAGTTTATCTGAAGTGTAATAAAGATGTACATTTTCAATGTAGAATTTCGAGTTGGGCTTTATAGTAGTGAAAATTTTCATGTGCTATATTACTTTATTGAATTATAAAGATGTTGTAACCTTGAATAAATGAGACACTATTATGTGAATGTAACGATTGTATATGTTAGGCACTATTAATTAATTTGTTGTCATGGTATTCATTCAAAAACAGACCTCTGTTTGCTGTTGGATGCCACAAATCTGTGCCATTTCAGCAATTCTCTACACGCTTGCTAATGGCAATGAATCATAATTACAGCTCACTGCCCTCCAGGGAATCTTCACTTCTTATTATTGTCCCAGAGGCCAGAGGCCACAGATTGAGGTGTTTTATTATGTGTTCCAGAGTGGTCTTGGGTGCAAATACTTAGTCTGCAAATCAATTTCTCCAAAAATCATTGAAGGCATCCATAGGTAATCTAGGAATCTACTATGAAAATATGAAATCAAATTCCTTAGCAGTTGTTGAAAAAGCTGTTATCCTCCAGTGTGACTGTAGCTATTGGTGTGCCTTAATCATGGATTGGATCCAGCTTCAGTCCGATTTTCATTACACATTGAAAACATAACAGACAGAAATGACAAAAATAGCCTCCTAAAAGGTGATATTGGATGCATTTTCACACTGAGTACTAAATTACTCATTTGGTATAATTAGTGTTAAACTGGATCAATGGAACACCTTCTCCCAGTTCTTCAGGTGCTACAGAGACCGTATAAAGAGATCTGTAAAGTCCTGCAATAATACAATGACTGTCCTCATATATAAATAAATAAGTTTATAAGAACATAACAAAGGATGTAAAGGAAAGGAGACACTTCTGCCATTCTACAGTAGCTCATTTGGTTGTTTGCCAGTTGATCTGCTGATGTCATCCAAACATTTCTTGAAAGACACCAGGTTATTACCTGTGACAGCATTTATTATATTATCATCAATATCTGCTTCAGGCCCTGCATAATTAAAGGACAAGGAATCATTCTGCTGTATTTTAGAATCTGTTGTATCAATTTATGTTTTGAGTACACAAATACACCAAATGCTTAAAATGTAACTGTTCTCCAGTGTCTGTGATGCTGCTGCTGCTTCTGGTTCTTTTGAATGCAAAATTAATTATAACTAACTGTACAGCAAATGAGTTTCTTGGTTAGTGAATGAGTTTCATTAACACACATTGTGCTTCCTTGATGAGGTGACAGGGATTATGTATGTCTGCAGGGTATCAATCTATCAGGGGGACAGAGACAACGCATCAGTGTGGCCAGGGCACTGTACCAGCAAACAAATGTGGTCTTCCTGGTAAGTAGATCATTTCTAGTTTTTAATAAGGGACTACAGGTGTAATAAGAAGCATCAGACATTTCACTGCAGGGTGAACTATAAGTACAGAATGACATACAGTATGACGATATCTGTGACCTGTGACACTAAACGTTTATGCTAATACCAATTCTGTAGTTAATTCAGTCTCTAAATTTCCAAAGATTCTTAAAGCAAAATCAACTCTTTTGTGTCACTTAATATGCATTAAAAAGTAGCTCATAATTACAATCTAAAGAACCACATTCAAACATAATGAGAGATATCAGTGTCCTGCAATGTCTTCAGGCTCTGTGAGCTACAGTGTGCAAGGCCAAGCGGCTTGGTAGTGCTGTGTTTGTGTCTGTTCCGCGTTGTGCATGGTAATGTGCTCCATTTATTTCTCAAACATTTTATCTGCAAGCAAAGCCTTTTATGCTTCTTAAAATGAACCTTAATGTTCATGTTGATGAGGCAAGACAATCAATTTGAGCTCTGTGTACAATTTAAAGCACCAGTGATCATGCCTTAATACCTTAATTATAACTTAACGATTGTTGTTACTTGATGTAGGATGATCCGTTCTCAGCCCTGGACATCCACTTGAGTGACCACCTCATGCAGGAGGGAATACTGAAGCTGCTGAGAGAGGAGAAGAGAACAGTGGTTCTTGTTACTCACAAATTACAGTATCTTCCTCATGCAGACTGGGTGAGACCATGATGCTAAGATCAGTCTGAAAAATCACATGAGCAAAACTTTAGTCATCTGCGTATACAAAACCTCCAAGTCAGTGACATGCAGTAGATTTGCCCGTTATTCATTTAGAATAAGAATATTTTTTTCATCATCCTGGACTGTCTCATAGGTCTGTTTCTGTTGTGCTTCCTCACCTCTAGATTATTGCTATGAAGGATGGCACGATTCAGAGAGAGGGGACACTGAAAGACATTCAGAACTCGGAGCCAGAGCTCTTTGAACACTGGAAAACCCTGATGAACAGACAGGACCAAGAGCTGGAAAAGGTTAATTGATAGTTTCAGTTTTCATGGGTCATTCAGGCATCTTTCAGTGCAAAACCAGTGGGTACAATGATTAAGCTGTTTTTCTTATGTGCTGCACTGTACAAGTTTGTAAAGTACTGTAGGTTTGCTCAATTTTTAAATTACATTCCAGACAAACTTTTTTTTAAAAAGTCTACATTTATTGATCTTGTAATCATTTATATATTAATAACTATACATACTGGAATATAACGGACATTTAAATGACTCTGTGACATACGAAATTCAAGTTTGATCTTTTGTGCTTCTGGCAGCACACCAGTGAAAAACACATACAGTACAGTACCAGTTCTGTTTCCCCTACTCAGGAGACTGTGGCCGAGAGTAAAACAGTGCTTGAGCGAAAGAACTTGAGGCGTGCCATGTACTCTAGAGAAGCCCTCATGAAAACAGAAGAAGAAGATGAAGGTAAGAAAAGCATGAACTTGTGTAGACATCCTGAGGGCCTTGTGCTATGCATATACAGTACCACTGAAAACTCATCTTCCTTTGCTCATTTTCTGTTAAATCTGAGATGTGCTAGTTCTTTCTTCTGTTCAGTATCCACCCTCCTGCAGCACAAGTGTCGAGTATATTTTTGTGATGCCTCTTAGAAATAACTCATTTCTCTTTTTCAGGTTATATGTGCACAGTGGCTTATACTGTATAATTATTTTCCTAATGTTGCACATTTGCAAGTTTATTGATGTTTTTGCCATTTCCTTGTAATTGGTTGAGTTTTTGCTCCACTGCAGTGTGGAAACGTTCCTTATTTGTTTTGTTGTTTTTATCTTTGTGGCCACCCTCGTTGGATGTTTTGGAATTGCTTCAGTACCTGGTGTTGGTATCAATGCTGATACGGGTGTGGATGATAAGCATGTTTTTCGGTCCTTCTGCGTCATTTTCATTTTAAAGCATTTGATGCACATATACTGATGCACAATGACATACACAAGAGTGTTATCTGTTAATGACTAATTGAGCATAAATGAACATTATAGTATTGTTATATTAGCATTGATATAGCATTGAAGGGTGTCTAGTCATGACAGGGTTTGCCAAGGAAATTGAAGTGGTCTTCTTCAATAACCAACTGACTAGTCCAGAGTAACCAAGAAACCTGACCTGGAAAACAGTCTCACCACACTGTCCCAGAGCTGTCACGTCTTTCTGATCCAACTATGTAATCTGTCTCAGACTACAGTGGCTGCAGTATCAGTTATTCCAGGATGATCTAACCCACATAATAGCAGTATGACTAACTTGCCATCCGCATGAAAATTGTATGCATGCTTGGAAGACGTTCAGGGATAACACTGATAGGTGAGAGATGAAATCGCTGTCTTCTGTAGGCAGGAAAATCTCAACGGTGGTGGCAGGGGGAGTGGTAGCATTTCTTGTTCAGTGAAGACTGCAGTTTTGTCCATCGTGGACGTGACAAAAGACAACTGATATGGAAGTTATGCAGACAGATGCATTATTTAAATCAGCTTCATGGAGTGGTGGAAGTTTGAGCAGGCATCTCTTTTAATGTATGTTAGCCTGTGATGCAGATTGAGAGCAACCTAACAGCATAGTGATTCATCAATGAAGTCCTAATCCACTAACTGGTCAGGATTAGTTGCAATGCTGTATATCTCATATAAGTATATCTAGAAAATGATAGATAATGATAGATAGAAATGTGTAGATTATCATGCAATTTACAATATACTTGATACTAACTGTAATGTTTTCAGTTTGACAGTGCCATGCGTTATGCTGAAAACCTATGATCCTCTGATTTCATCACAGTTTTTTAATCTACTTTACATGTACTATACTTGAAAAATCCATTAGACCTAAATGTTGTGCCTTTGTGCCTCAGTGTATGTGTCCTCATGTTACATTTGTATTGATCCTGCAACATTCTTAATCCAGTTTTTCTCATCTTTATTGGCATGTTTTACATACTGCTTATATGCTTTTTGTGATGCAGTGTTTTTCATGTTATATATACTGTATATTAGAGTATTGCATGTTCTCATATAAATGTGCATACTTCACAAATATTTTGAAAAAATCGTACAATTCGGTTAATGTTTTAATGGGATTCCCTATACTTTCTCCTCTTTGTATCTGATCTTCATGCACATTTTGCATTGCTTTCAGAATGAAATTATGATCCGACATCTTTGGAAAATGGGAGAGATTTCTAAATCATGTTACTGATGATGATGGCATTTTTATAAGAAATTGCTTCTCAGACGTTAGGAAGGTTTCGCAGGGCTTCTGCACATTTAAAACCACTTTCTAAAAAAACAGACGTGTAACTTTGAGGCCAGAGCTATAGACTTTTTATCACCCGTCTGTCATTAGAACAAAGGGTTAGCAAACCCAAGAGGGGTCATTTCTGATGTTATCCTAACATTGCTTAAATGTTTTTTTATGTTAGAAAAGAGGACTGTCTATCATTAAAAAATGAGTAGAAATGAAATGTAAGCATTGAAAACTGTTCAAAACTAACCGTACTGTCTGGCCTTTGACTGCTACTGTTCCAGGAGCTACATCTGTAGTCTGTACCCACTAATCTGCTGTCTCCAAGTACAGAAATCCTAGAAGAAAAGTTTTTAAAAAAACAGGTCCATTTTTTTTCTCCCAGAAAAATTAAAAATTGCCTTGCTGCAATGAAGATGAATACTGTACTACATGCACTGCAGTTTGGCATTAATTGGAAAGTCAGAAATACAGACAGCACTGTAGGCTATTAAACTTTGAATTGAAAAAATAATAATTCTTTATACTGTCAAATATTGGAAGGTTGGATTTAGCTGTGTGCTACTTATACAGTAGTACCCCAGCGATGTCACCTTCATCATGCCTTGTCTTGCTACAGAGGAGTCCACAGAGAGTGACGATGAAGATAACATGTCTTCAGTGCTCCGACACAGAGCCACCATACCCTGGCGATCGTGTGGGACCTATCTGAGCTCTGCCGGCATACTGCTCCTCCCTCTCCTGCTGCTCTCCCAGCTCTTTAAGCACTCTGCCATGCTGGCAACCGACTACTGGCTGGCCAAGTGGACCTCTGATGTCATCACACTAAAAAACGATGCAAACGGGAAGAACTGCAGCACCACCCAGGTAGGTAAGACCAGCGAGGTCAGAACATGATGCATTAAAAACAGAACAAATACTTCTGGTACTAATAGTTTTTTGTGTCTGTATTGCTCTTGGTGTGTAAACCTTTGACATGTGACTTCATCCTGCAATGGACTGGATATACAGTATGACTCACCTTGCGCAGTTTGACTAAGAGCCCATGAGTTGGTAGAGACCTACAGTACGTGTGTTTCTTGTGCAATATGTCTCTCTGATTATGAGATCTGAGAGATCTGTCTTCTTACCATTTTCTGCTTTTCATGTATTGTAGAATGAATGCGATAGCACAGTTCATTTGCTTTCTAAAGGTTACAACTGTTACATTGTACAGTAGTGACAAGTGCCACCATACAGTACTCTATTGGAAACAATATTACAATTTCCATTTGACTTTGCATTGATATACCATGTACAAGGTTCATCAATGCAGCATAGGAAAGCCTTAATTGTCGTCTTGTTGGTTGTATTTTCAATTTCGTTTAACAGTCAAGTATTAAGTCATTTAGCGCTGTTTAAAGAAGTTTAAAGAAAGTGTGGTCTTAATCTTGTGGATGACAACTCCTGAAGAATCTTGACTTTTTCTAGGATTACATTTTGTGCATCGTGCTGTTCATGCTATGCAATACTGTATGTGAACAGATTTACATGCTGCACGTTTTGTGTTTTAGAAAACAATACCTAACGTTCATAAGAATTGGGGAAAAAAGCATGGCTCACCTTTTCTAATTGCTTTACATTATCTTTCATTTCATAGCTGTTGTGCTACTGTGCTTTGAGAATTATTCTGTACTCTTTGCATTGGCCTTTTTGATGGTTGTGAAATGAAGATTATAATCACAAGTGATTAATTTAGGCCTGTGCTGAACTGATTAATTAAATTATCCTACTCTTACCTGCTGCACTGAACTTAATATTGCCAGGGTTGTTTTCTCCCTGCAGAATGTTATTGATTAGCCTTGAGAATTCCTCAGTCTGAGTTTCTGCTAATTGACTTCACAGGAAGGTTGGGAGTGTGTCCAGTGTGTCAGTTTAGTTTTTACTTTTACACGAAAATTGGCATTGCTTGTGGGAGAAGGAAAAGCAGAAGTGGAACATTTTTTTTTTCTTCTATATGCATAATGTTCAAGTCCTATGCAATTCACTTGATAAACCACAACATTACAATATCTGTACATTAACGGTTTCTTACCTTAAAATTGCTTTCACACGAGGCTGAGCTGCAGTAGTTAAATTTCACTCCAGTTTGCCTAAGTTTCCTCCTCGGCTTCATTGAGGAAGGTGCTGTGTTTCCTCACCTTTTCACATTGCTGGCAAACTGGTGAATGAGGTGGCTCCCTCTCATTTGGCATGTCCTTCAGGATCCTCATGGATTAGAAGTGAATTACACTGACTCTGATCTTGCGGAATAGTGGACATGACAGCTGTGATTTGCTGGCAACACTGTGATCAGAATACCCCCTGCAAACCTGACACATTAACAACACAGTCATTCAGCTATGTGGTTGCTTGGTTCTCTAAACTGTTGGTAAGGGAACAGATGTACAGTAGGTAAATAACTGACCAGATAAAGAAAAACCTTTGTCCTGTGATTGTGTACAGTTTTGTCGTATAAAAAATAATGACAAGAAGATAAACTTGTAAAATAGAATTCATGTAGAGATTTTCTTGCATGATTGCAAATGAGGGTTCAGGAAATGGGGAGAGTGGAATAAGTGGGTCAACCAGTTGTAGAAAATAACCAGAATACAAATTATATTTTCATTGTAAACATTGACTTGTTCATGGTTTCTCCTTCTTGAGTAAATTGATTCAATGACAGCTCATTCCATTGCATAATGTTTATTGCATCAATAGAATCTTCTACTTCTTACCATTAGTTTTAGTTATTACCATTACCATTAGATATTCTCAGAAAGTATATTTGTTTACAATCATTACATACTGTACCATGAAAGAGATGCTACTTCATTACTCTGTGTATATACAGTGTTTGTAAATGTAGTTAAGAGGTGCCACAGTGGTTAGCTTTGCTGCATTGCAGCTCTGGGGCTCTGGATTCAGTTTCTGGGGTGATGTCTCCATAGAGTTTATATGTTCTCCCCGTGTTTGTTTGGGTTTCCACCTTGTGCTCCAGTTTCCTCCCACAGTCCAAACACATACTGGTAGGTTAATTGGCTTCTAGGAAAATTGTCCCTGGTGTGAGTGCGTGTTTGTACTATGTGTGCCCACTTTAATAAGACATGGTAATGTTACAGTATTTGGCCTCTGGAAATTGCCTGTGCCCTTTCTGTGTTCTTTGAGACAGTTCAGGTGTTTGTTCTTACAGTGCAGTGACTGGAGTTGTTCTTTCTTCCCCTCAGGAGTGCGGATTCAGTCACTCCTCGTACTCCACGGTGTTCAGCATTCTGTGCTGCCTGGGGATCGTCCTGTGCCTCGTCACCTCGGTGGCAGTCGAATGGACTGGCCTTCGCGTTGCCAAGGAGCTGCACCACAGTCTGCTAAACAAGATCATCCTGGCACCAATGAGGTAGCGCGTGACGGACACAACACTTCCCCGCACGGCCGCATAGTTTTTGTGGTGATTTACTGTGAGTCACGTATTGCACAGGCTGGTGTCATAGCATGCCAAGAGGGTGATTTTTGATATGAGAAGGGCTGTGGGGGATGGAACAAGCTCTTCAAAAATCAGGAAGCATTCCCCAGCTTTATCCTGTCATATGTGCCTAAATACTGCACCAGTATCTGATTTCTTTTCACAATCATTATGGCTTCCAAACAGCTCAGCCAGTAAAGGCCCTCACAGAGAGCACATGTTGAGCTCTGTAGACCGGACATTGCTACTTTGTGCATTTTGTTGCGTTTTCAGGATTTAGAACCTTAACACCATCTGTTCATTAGGCTAATTGTGTGTGCAAATATCCTTTTCCTGTCAAGGATGTGGTATCTCCTGGGGTGTTTAATCAGTTCACTGACATTTGGCAGGGCCTCTCTCAACAAGGGAAGATACAGGGGGCATTTAAATTAAAATCTAGAACATATTATATACTTGTACCTAAAACCATAGTCATGTTTAAATTATAGTCTTGCACATGGCACTCAACAACTAGCCTTGGTCCTGGATACATGTGTAGCCATACTCTGTATTTTGTTCATAGGCTCTTCGAAACAACTCCCCTTGGAAACATTCTGAACAGATTCTCCGCTGATACTAACACTATTGACCAGGTAAGGTTCAAAACGTTCACGTTACCCCCTCATGCAGATGTCATGAGGTCCCACTGCTTAATCCAGGAGCAAGTGCTGTCTCTCTTCTATACCTCATCCAAAACATTTTACTTGTGTTGTGCTTCTTTAAAAATAAAAAGAACACACTGACTCTAGATCTGGATTTAATTATCAATCTTACTATTAATAAATGAATAATGTAAAAAATGTGAAGCTCTTGATGCTAGAACATGTTTCTAAACATTTGATAAAAATGCATTGCTCACTATCATTCAGTGATCTGGATTGAAACAAAACAGCATTTGTTGTGGAAACATGAAATTAGGCATGAATTAGAAGAATGTACAGTACACACTACCATAGTTAGAGTCTAAATATGAACATTGCCATGTTTTAACTTGCCTTGTACAGTAATTTAATAATTGAGCTCATGTGCAGTTCCCTCCTTAAATATTGAGACAGTGATGTTAAAATGACTATTTATGCTGTATACTAAAGCAATTTGGATTCGCGATGAAAAGATTGATGGAAGCATAGATGCACGGAAAAAAATAGAAATGAATGGTTACATTCTGTACTATTGTCTCAAATTATTTAATCTTGTCATCTCAAGATGATCTATATTTCATCGTATGTCAGAAACAGGAAACTCTCGTCTACTGTAGTTATTAATGTGTTTGAAGGCAGCGACTAATCAGTTTGTGATCCGAGACCCACAAAGCTCACTTTCACGAATTCCCGTGACTGAGAGGTCGTCGCTCCCTTGCAGCACATCCCTGCCACTCTGGAGTGCCTGAGCCGCTCCACCCTGCTGTGCGTGTCCGCGCTGGCCGTCATCTCCTACGTCACGCCTGTGTTCCTGATTGCGCTCGTGCCGCTCGCCATCGCCTGCTACTTCATCCAGAAGTATTTCCGAGTGGCCTCCAGGTTTGCTGGAACGCTTTGACATGTCAGGAATTCCTCATGAGAATTTTCACACGTCCTGTAGGTGTGGGTGATTATCCTGTCATGGATGCTTAAGAAAATAGTTTCTTTTGTTTTTCCCCCATACCTTCTGTTCGCAGGGATTTGCAACAGTTAGATGACAGCACACAGCTCCCCTTGCTCGCCCATTTCTCTGAAACGGTAGAAGGTCTGACAACTATACGTGCTTTCAGGTAATCCTTCCACTAATCTATGTGTACATTTGTCTTTAAATCTGTCAAACGAACAATACAGTAAAGACGTGAAACTGATTTCTGGGTTTACTTCTGTCTTTGGAGTTTAATATTCCTGTTCTTTAACTTCTTAGGATAACCTGCATTTCTAATGGAACAGTATTCTATCATCAGTCATTGCTTCTGGTTTCAGATATAGTTGATTTAGCTTTACAGTCAGTTCTAATGGGAGTATTCCTGGATTTATTTGCATCCCAGTATGTAGCGTATTTCTGCACAACTATTCTTTAAGCTCCTTTTCCTTTACTGTTTTAAGCATCTCTTAGAAATGTGATTCAAATATACAGTATTTTCGTCATCTGAGGATTTCTCAGAAGTCAAGCAATTCTTTTGGCATCAACAGAGTGAAGCTAGTGGCTCTTTGAAGAACAGACTGCTGATGCTGCAACATTGTGCACTTCTTGTTCTGTAGGTACGAGGCAAAATTCAGACAGAAGCTTTTGGAATATACAGACGCCAACAACATTGCCTCTCTCTTCCTTACAGCAGCCAATCGCTGGTTAGAAGTTCGGATGGTAATGATCCTATTACAGTACATGGTCCTGTGTGTCACGATTTAAATGTCTAACCATTGTAATTGACACGGTTTGCTTATTACAGTGCTAAGGTCTAGTCAAACAGCTTAGAAAAATACTGTAAAGACAAACTCTTGTTGGGTATTTATACTACAAGAAAATAGTTCCTATAGATCTAGTATTGTAGAAATTTAATTTTAAATTGAGTAAGACTACTAATATTATCTGTCTTAAAGTTTTATGAATAAATCACTAAGAATTGTTTTGTAAGATTTTTTAACCTTTCTTTATTTGGTTCAGATAAGATGAGAATGGAGAAACATTTTATGAGTTCTTTGCTTCTTCAAAACATGTTTAGCTAGCCTCCTTAGTCCTGTTCTCTCTGTGTAAGAAATGTAAGCTTCTGTTTTCTATATGTTTCTGTGTATCTCTTTCTGCCTTGTTCGGTCCTGAAAAAACACATTAAACATTGGTTCAAAAAGGTTTCTGCACTCATGTCGTATCAGCATAAGTTCGAACAAGAACATGTAAATGACAGGGGGTCATTTGGCCCATCTAGTTTTCTTGATTGCTATTAGCATATTGATGAAAGTGTCATCTAGCCATATACTGTAGGTGGGTTGCTTATTCTAGATTGTGATAGCACTCAATTTGAGTGTTTTTGATATAAGCTAGATTTTGGAATAGCAGAAGTGAGTGATTGTTTCAGTTTGCTGTGGGTAGCAGTCTGAATGGTCTGAATTTGATATTGTTGCCTGGTTCCACAGGAGTATATTGGTGCCTGTGTGGTTCTGATTGCAGCTGTAGCCTCCATTACCAACTCGCTTTACAACCAGCTGTCTTCTGGACTCGTAGGACTGGGTCTGACATATGCTCTCATGGTAAGTGCTTGTGTTTTAAGCACCAGGTAGTTTTGCAGTGTGACTGGCAAGAGTCTTAAGAGGGAGTCAACTGTCTGCATTAAGCATGCGGTGCCTTGTATCTGTTATCTGAAGTTTTTGTTCAACTGTGAAAACACTGAAAGGAACATTTGCAAAGCCAGTGAAAGTTAGCACAATTGCCTTTGAAAATGACTCTTATAATTATACTTCTAATCATTATTATTTTAAATTATTTAAAAAAGAATATTATTCCAATGCAGAATATCTTAACTTATTTTTTTGGTGAAAAACATCTTTATTTTTTAAAATTCATTGCTTCAAGTTATATTGCTTTGTTTTATATTTCTGTAAATACCTGTTGCCATTGATAATAAACACTTTCAAATTTGGAAAAGAGCCTTCTGGAAATCTGCACAAAAGGGCCGGTAGGAGGAGACAGGATGAAAAGCAGAGTCAGCAAGAATTATGACCCTGAAGCCTGAAACGGAACAAATGTACTCCCCTGGTATGTGTTCAGCGCTGCATCATTAAGTTCGCTGTGCATTTCCTGTCTACAGGTGTCTAATTATCTCAACTGGATGGTGCGCAATCTTGCAGACATGGAGGTACAGCTTGGGGCTGTGAAAAGAATCAATGGGCTCTTGCAGGTAGAGCCTGAGAACTACGAAGGCCTCCTCTGTGAGTGTATTAAGTTGCTCACATCGCCAAATCCTGAATATTTTATGGGTTAAAGTTGAAACCTCATGATTAAGTCACTGAAGGCAGCCGCGGATTTCGGATTCTTTTGTTTCTCTGATACAGTGGCATCCCAAATTCCTGCAAACTGGCCCCACCAAGGAGAGATCCAGATCCAGAATCTGAGTGTGCGCTACGACAGCACACTGAAACCTGTTTTGAAGCACGTCAATGCGCACATCTCACCTGGACAAAAGGTACAGGCGCCCTGTGTTTTGTTTAGCCCAGCAGATTTAGATGGGCTTTGCTTTACATACAGTACACTACTGGTGGTAGTAATTAAAAAAGCACTGCTGGGACAAAGGAATAGAAGTAACTTTTTCAGTGTAATCAGATTACATTGTTAAAACATTACAGATTGCACAGTTAAAACCTGACACAGTGCTAATGCAAAATCCTAACACCTTATTCAGCACTTAGGTCCCTTTCTTATACCTCAAAGGGAATGTAAGTTAGATTGAATTTACATTGACAAGCTCAAAATAAGTTTCTCAGAACAGTTCGTATAAGCACTGAAGACTGTTATTCTTACAAAAATGTATCTATGTGTTTTCATGGAATTTGCATAGAATATTTAGAGAATTATCAGAAGTGTCATCCTTTTTAACAGAGGACATCACCAGTAGCACTCTCAGGTTCTGATGTAATGATATAAAGATGGATTTGTATCTCTGAATAGTGACTTTAACATCAGTGACTCTAAAATGTAGTAGCCTAGAGGCAATGATTCAGTGTGGCTAGAACATTGCTTTCTTCCTTTTTTTCCTTGTAACACATTATGTACACAAATTCATTATTTTCTTGCATTTGTGCTAAGTAAACTGTAAAGTGTACAGTATGTACTGTACTGTACACCAATACTTTATTTGTACTTTATCTACAATGCAATGTATTATTCATGAAATTATTTTCGAGAATCCTGTTGTGAATACCTACAGTATTAAAATAACTTGAATGTTCTGCATTATTTATTATTTTGTTATTATCTCCTTGGGTTATTATTAGGTTATTTATTAACACTTACTTAGGAGACTCTCTCATCCAGTGTGATTCACAAAATATACAGTGGTACACAAAGTAAATTAAAAAATAAATCATTCAAATGCAGTAGAAACAAAGTAAAAAAACTGCACAAATGGCAACAAAAACAAAGTAATGAACCAACAGCACACTGTAAGTGCAATACCTGTGCAGCATGGTGAAAAAATGAGCAGTGAACAAGCAGAAAACAGTGATTGCAGTACAGGAGGGCTACCCTTGAGCTTCATGAAGTATGAGGTGGCAGTGAAAGTTAATGACAGTGTAAGAGGTTATTGTAGATTTTTCATGACATAAAAGAGATTTTTAAGCAACAGCACTGTCTTCACTTCCTAAATGCATTCACATGCTATGACACATGCTTTGTCCCTAGGTTGGAATATGTGGGCGAACTGGAAGTGGAAAATCTTCATTTTCTTTAGCCTTTTTCAGAATGGTTGACACATTCGAAGGTAAAAAAGTCCAAGGCCTACTTCAGTATATACTGTATAATAACATGGAAAATCCAGTGACAGCTCTTCTTGATACAAAATGTTGTACTTTATGGTGTTTTCAGATGAAATGCTTATGGAATTATCAGGATTATTGAAGTGCTTTAACTGAGATCATTTGGCCATATTAAAAAAAAGTATCTGTTTTCTCTAAGTGTTACTGAGTTGCAGTTAATAAATGTTTTGTGCATGAGAAGACATTCATAAGAAAACATTTTGCTGTGAAATTTAACTGGAAATTTGGCTTTGGATTCTTATTTAATGATTTTATTTTTCCAACAGGACGGATTGTCATTGATGGAATAGATATTGCTAAGCTGCCTTTACAGACTCTCAGATCCAGATTCTCAATTATTCTTCAAGACCCAATTTTATTCAGTGGCACAATCCGGTGAGGAACACAGCTTTATCTGAAGCTCTTAAAGTGGCCTTGGGAAGAAAAACTCCATCTACAGTAGCATAATGTTTTCATGGTGAAGCTTTATAGTCTCTGTGTATTGAGTTCTGTGTATGATTGATGCTTGTTTTCAGTTGGTTAATAGAAATAAATTTAAAACCATTGTAATGAAAGAGTTAATTCCCAAAGGGAGCAGAACATGTACAGTAGTTCTGTTTGAACTAATTTGTACACATCTGAGACAAAGCAAAATATAGAAGGCATCTGAAGCAATAAAGAAAATACTAACTTATTATATTAAAATATTAAATTAATTTTCTGGGTTTGTATGGTGTAAACTAATACCATCACCTACATGTAAAACACTGAACACTGGGCTGAAAGCAGGATTAGACGTTTCAGGCCAATATACAAATCCAAAAGTGAAGGTTTTTTTCTTCTCAGATGCCTTTGAATGTGTACTCTTAAAAACTAAAACTTAAATAAAAAGCAAACCCAAAGAGAGAACCATTATGTATAAAGCAATAATATTCAGTAGTTACTGTAGTAACAACAGAAAACTCAAAAAATACAATTTCATTTTTGGGTTCCTGAGCATGACTTACAACAGTGCACATCAGGTGCTGTTTATTCATGAATTCCAGCAACTGACTTGTTTTAGGCCTAAAACATGTTTCTTCTTTGAAGACTAAGCAGAATTAAAACACGCCAATTACTATTATCAGTAAAAATATGCCAGCTTTAAACTGAGCTGTTTCTACACGTACACTGCTGTGTGAAAATCTTAGACATTTTGCTTTGTTCTCCTGAATTATTGACCATGTTGTTAAGATAACAGTTGAACCTGCTATATGTGTATTTTGTAATACAAAAAGTAGTAATTTATTTTTATGGATGTGTAGAGAGTAGCAAACAATGTTAATGATGAGGAACACCTCACAAATGAGTTATTTGATGGGTACATGTGATGGATTATGAACTGTAACATTTCGTAATGAATGTTCAAGTGTTGTTTACCTTGAGCTTTTATGGGTGATTCTGATCAATGTAAATTTAAGATGGCTAAATGGCAAGTTTGTCTTCAAAGCAGCATCAATAACACTCATAGAGTATGTTTTATAAGGGTAGAGGCAACACTGGAGACTTTGAGAAAATTGTTTATATTCATACATGTATTGTAACTCCTGATTGCACCTAAAATATCTAAGAGTTTTACACAGCAGTGTATTAATTCAATTGTCATCATTGTGAAGATCTTTATCTTTTTTGTCAAGGTTTAATTTGGATCCAGAGAGAAAGTGCACAGACAGCATGCTTTGGGAAGCTCTGGAAATAGCCCAGCTCAAGCCTGTGGTGAAGGCTTTGCCTGGAGGCTTAGGTGAGGCAGTGGGCAACGTACAGTAAGACTGCAGGATGGCTGGGGTGTGTTTTAATTAGATATTTAATTAGATGGGGGAATACACAATGATTGTAGAAAAGTGACTCATGGATTTTAGTAGGTTTTTAAATGCACATCTTCTTTTCTCTAAAATTAGAATTCCACAACAAAAATAAGTGATAATATTGTCCTATACATTCATGCTTTAATTTTCTCATTACTCATGCTATGTGGAATTTTATTGTAAACACTGCATGTTAACTGGACTTGAGTTGAACATAACATAAGAAAGCTGGCAGATGAGAGGAGGTTTTTCAGTCTTGCTCATTTGCTAGTTGCTAGTAGCTTATTATCCACATTATTTAATACAGCAATTTTTAAAGTAATCATCCCAAAGCAACCAATGGTCCTAACAGCCATAGAGCATGTGAACAGGAGGAATACATGCTGTATTAAATAGGAGCAGCTGAGTGAAGGTCACTCAGAGGGAAGTAAACTGATAACATATTGGCAAGATACTGAGAAGCCACAGCATGCAGGGCCTTGAACATAAGCACACGGCGGAAATGTAACAACACAGTCCATTTCGGCCACATAACATGGGAGTTTGTTTGAGACTCACAATCCATGTACACAATCTGTGTAAAAACTTTTCCTGTTTTGAACCCTCCTAGTCCCCTGAGCTGAGCTGAACAGCACCAGTCTGGATTTTAAATCTCTGTTCCAGACTGGTTATTATTTTGGATAATGTAGAGAATGCATAACATTTTTGTATATATCATAGTCTTTAGTGCATGTACTGTAAGCTTCTGCAACACTGGAAATGCGTTATAACTGCGAGAATTAGAGAGTCCTTTTTGTTTTGACTTGCTGCAAAGATATGATGCATTTGAATGCAGTATTTACTGTACATCACTGTATGTATTTACATTACCGGGGATTAAACATAGATCAAGAAATCACTACATTTTAGGAAAGCATGCAAAGTAGCATTCTTTCAGAACATTCCATCGTTGTAATTCCTAATTTTTTTACCTGGGTAACCTACTGTTTAATGTTTTTTTTTGTTGTTGCATGAGTAAGTGTGATTCTATCAAAAGTATTTTGAATTCAGTTTTTGTGATGCTGAGCTGAAAGCCATGTGGATGTTACAGATTTTTCTGTTGGTCATTTCGGAAAAACTCAAATTAAAAGTCCAGCCTTTGACTAGTTTTAGATAAAGTCTGGCCACTAGCTGCAGAGCTCATTCTAATGGCTGCATTGTGGTGTAGATGCAATGGTGACGGAAGGAGGAGAGAACTTCAGCCTGGGGCAACGTCAGCTGTTCTGCTTGGCACGAGCATTTGTGCGGAAGAGCAGCATTTTGATCATGGATGAAGCCACTGCGTCTATAGACATGGCCACGGTAAGAAAAGAGCCCGCAGGCTTTAATGCCAAGTAACTTCCTAAAAAGGCCTTCTATTCAGCAGTGTGCTGAAAGACCTTCCTTTTTTTTCTCAAAACAATGTCAAAAGCTTTAAAATCTCTACTCTGTAAATTAAAAGTGCAAGCTCTTGGGGTTTGCAATTTGTAGAGTTTCATCTAAGGCTTATACTTTGTGAAGGCGCTTCTGAACTGGAAATAATGCTATTCTGTAATGAATAATTACATGGAATAGACATTAATCACTCTTACGGGACCTACTGTCTAGTACTAATAGCTACTAGAACTGTCTGGGTACTAAACTTGGCTTTTTATTAGTCACTCCATCAGGTTTTTGTCATTCCTAACAAACACAGAGCAAAGTCCTGATAACCGTGCACTTAATAATAATTTAATATAAATATGTATGCAAAATATAAAGAAATTAGGATCAATTCATATTCTAGTACTCTATAGCAAATATACTGTACAGTACAGCATTTGAAACAAAAAAATGAAATTCTAATATCAATGTCAATTTTTTTTATAGCCAGCAAAGACACTCATTGTACTTATGTTTTTAATCACCTTGAGATCACAGATTAAGAACTACCAAGAAGTAGAAAGGGCCACTAAATAAAAAAACTGAGCTATATACACCTTTATTTGCAGTAGTAATGTACTATATGCATTGCTATCGTCAGGGACTGCATAGCTGTTTCTCAGTTTAGTAATATTTTGTATCTATTGTGTGAAGTCCATTACATAAAAGACAATGATGACATTTCAGTACAATGGACAGCTCAGTGCAGTCAGGTGCCATGTAAATCTCCCTATCAAATCCTTAATATGTAATAAAAACCATGAATTATTTATCAACAGAAAGTTAATATTGATTTGCAATTATTAAGTCATAAGTGCATTAGTATATTTGTCCAGAATCACAGAATTACACAATTCAGTTGAGAATTCCTGTTTTTTTTAAATTACATGACACCACCTAGCCTGCCAAGTTTCATGTGTCTTCTCACTTTGTGACTTTTTATCAGTCCAAGTGAGCTTTCATGTATTGCCTTTGCTTTTGTAATCTGTCACCTTTGATTTTACCACATCAGACAACATTGTTTTTAATAACTCACAACAGCTGGTTCCAGCAGTTCTGGGGAGCTGCATCTGTGAAGGTTTTATGCTGTAGATCTCTTTACATCAGCAGTGGCTGAAAAATTGGAATCTGTAAAACTAATTAATTAGATAGAGTTGTACTGGGAAACCTACAGGCCAGCTCTCCAGGACAGGTTTTTGGAATTCCTGTTCTAATACCTAATTCATTACATAAACAACTATTTCTACCTCTGGTCTCAAACCTCATTTTTGCTTCTGTTCTCATAGGAGAACATCTTACAGAAAGTTGTGATGACAGCATTTGCAGACAGAACTGTGGTTACCATAGCAGTAAGTACCATCAGCAATCTCCTTGTTCTGTTCTGGAAAGTAACGTTTTCCTATTAAAAAAAAGCTTGATACAGTGTGTGACTTTTTTTCCATTTTCCACACTTTTGTGCTATTAAATTCTACTGCATTTGTCTAGTTTGACGAAAGGTTTTTGTGGATCTCGTAAATGGCTGAATGATAAAGGTGCTCACCTGGACTACAGGTGGAGAGTTTAGTGGTTCAGACCTGAGTGCGACACCTTTAGCCAGCTGTGGCCAGGATTCTCTAAGCAGCTGTACACAATTGGCTACGTGTCTCTGGATCCTTATGGCCTGCTGTTGACTGAAGTTTTCCCAGCCTGCTTTTACTATGAGCTTGTGGCGGCATCAGATAATGATGAATGGTTCTGGCACATGCTCACTCTCTGTTTAATATAGAGTATATGTGGTGGTAAGTCACAATAGTTACGTTAAAATATGCAACAATTGTCAATTCCACATTTTAAATCAACCCCTTTGTAATGAAGAACTCAGTGGAAGTTGTATCTGTTTGTTTATCAAGGGGGATTTAAAAATTAATCTCATAAGTTAATTCTTCATTTCCTACCCTGCTTGAAATTAAATCAAGACTGCCTTTTCATCAGGATGTGGATAACTGCACATATCAGAACCGTAATAATAAAGGATTAGCATCCAAAACACAAAGAAAAGACTTATTACAGTTAGCAGACTAGAAGATGCATTATGTACTGCAGAGAATTAAGTAAACTTATTCTTAAGTAAAATAAAAATATTTTTTGTGGAGTCAACGTTTTTTTTCAAGGAAGAAATTATATCTATGCTATATTTCCTTTTCTTGCAGCACCGTGTACATACAATCCTGAATGCAGACTTGGTTATAGTTATGAAGCGAGGAATCATTTTGGAATATGACAAGCCTGACGTCCTGTTAGAGCATGAAGACAGTGTCTTTGCTTCTTTTGTCCAAGCAGATAAATAAGAAGAAAAACACTATAGAACTCTGAAGTGCAATTGTACTGCTGTATTAATTAGTTTTATACAATTGTGTACATCTGTAAATAAACTAATTCTTTAATAAAAATTACCATTAAAATCTGCATTGACCACTTTTTCTTCATATTGTGTAGATACCATTAGACAACAAGACAAATGCTCTTTTAGATCTCCTCTGCTGTTTTTGATTTGGATAACGACAGCCACCTCACCATACATCACAAAGAAACCAGGAGGGCAAGAAATTACAAAGTGTTTAAATCCCTGTGCCTGTTAAGTTCATACTTTCACTTGAAAAACCTTTCAGAAGCACAAAATACTGACCACAAAGTGCTTCCAAAAAAAAAAAAAAAAAAAAAAAAAAAAAAAAAAAGGTCCAGCCAATTTCCATCGGGCCTGACAGGGCAGAGGCTCGTTAAAGGTTGCCATGGCAGTGTGGGGTGACCACAGCTGTTTTAGATTCACCAGTTCCCAGGTGTACTGCTTGATTGTTGGTCTCCAGTTGCTTTGCCTTTTTGAAATGCAAACCAGGGCTCTTCCTGAATGGCGGTACTCATTGAGATTATAGATTGTGACTTCTATTAACAAACAAATTAAATTGCTTTAAATTCAGAGCTTGATAGCAATAACCTCAGGTTTGTTTGGAGAAACATTCCAGCCTTCCTACAAAAATAGAACACAAGACCAGTCAAGGAGAGGAGTATTCAATCTGAGGTATGTTTTTTAACAGAAAATGATTATTTTAGTTTGTCATACTCCTGTTAAATTTTGATAAGAGTATCAGATGTTTTTATGGATTCTCAAATGCTAACAAATTTTCAGGCTTTTTTGTTCCCTGACTAATACTTATTTAACATCAAATTCCTTTGATTAGCATGCTTATTTTATAACAGTTTTTTATTTTCTCTTTTAAATACCACCCTTGCTGAGATGAAACAAATGTTTAATTCTCTGAAAATATAAACAGCTGGCACAGATTATAGAGCAGGAAATATACAAAATTACAACAATAGACTGATTACAATGAAGCCCACTAAACCAACCAAGACTTCATGGAATATTATACACATTTTACAAGTAGGTACTGGAGCTGCATCATCATGTGTAGGCTGCAAAGGAACAAGTAAAGGTTTATTCCATGCTGTGTTTATTTTCTTCTATTTTCAGCATGGAATAAACCTTTATTTTTTCCTATTATATAACAATGCAACTTCATCTATGTCAGTATCCCAGGCAGGCTGTCAGTGAATACTGAGTATAATTGAGCTGTGTGCATGTACTGTATTTTTTGCCCCTTACTGCCCTATAAAATAGTCTATTAGCCTGTGGTTTTGGAATATTTGCATTATTGTGAAATATCAGTCTAATTATCTCTTGAAGGAAACCTAAATATACGAAGTGGTGTTCCATGTCTGTGCAAGTTTACCGAAATAGAAAAGAAAGTATCTCACGTGGATCCTATTAATAGTGATCCTATTAATGTCATGCCATGCTTCTGACAACATAAGTGCTCTCCCATGAATGAACTGTGGATAGTTTGATACTCTGTGTTCTGCAATGGGATCATCTGGTTTCAGGGAATGGTAGTAAATGGGGGTTTGTCTTCATGTAGTGTAGTGGTCTCACTGAAAAGAAGGCTGCCTGTAGGTGGTTATTGCAGTGCAATTTTTAAAATATAGCCCAGCTTTGTAATGTGCCTCACTTTTCAGTTTATGGAACACTTGATACAAACTCTTTATGAAAAGAGATCTTTTTTAATTATTTGTAAAGTTTCCCTACTTTAGAAACCTGGCAAGATCATCATCAATTAGAAGTATTCAGTGTTTTGAACCTCACCTGTTTTGGAGGTACTGTACAGTAGATGATGATACAAACAATGCTTATACTTAAGTACTGTATGTGGCATATAATGTAACAGTGAGCCACACATAGTATATTGACCTCTGCATTACTGAACATGCTGTACAGTATTAGCCTTTCAGAAGATGATGCTGGACTGACTGACTGACTGACTGACTGACTGACTAAGGACCATTTTCCTCCGATTTTTGTGCTAGTGGCATTCCAGTGCGTACATAGTGCAGTTTGATTAAACGGGTCACTCTTTTGTTCCTAAAATTAAAGACCTGCAAAACGATCATGTCAAGTTCATAAATACCAAGAGAAGTATATTAACGGAGTACAAGACGCATTCGTTCTACAAAATAACAATTCTGTTTTTTATGGTGTATTTAAAAAATCATGGTTTCTGTTGAATATCGCTATACAGTACGCGAGTTTAAGCCCAATGCTAGCAGTAGTAGAAAAGATGCAAAGAGAATTAGTTTTATTACTAAAAACGTGTTAATCCTAAATCGCTGTCAGTGTATCGTATTATACTGTACTTTGTCTTCAAATACAAACATCGTATTTTTTTAATGGTTTTTGAAATGAATAACGGACCTCTATAGGACGACGTTTTCTATTTTTATTGTTTAATGAATTAGAACGGCATCCCATGCAAGACTTCTTTGGAAAGCCTTGTCAGCAAAGAACGCCTTCTCAAATCGCACCGGAATGCCTCACCGCTTCTAGCTACAGTACTTTCCTGAATGCAGGCGAACTCAGCCAGACTGCAGCATCGCACTCTGCAGGCATAGTCTGTCGTGATGGGCTCCGGTTTTATTTTAGTCTTTGTTATGGAATCGTTACTTCTCCTGAAGGTGGTGACGATTTAAATCGCTCGGAGCTGGTAACGGGCTACTTTATTTACCAACGGTCCAGCCTGCAGTATGCGCTGGTCGGTGTGTCTCAGACACAAACAGTGCCGCAGCTATCCGGTTGCAAGCGCGGATGACAGGCATGGGCAGATGCGATTCTGAAATGCGAGGACTCGGCTCCCGGGAATGTCGGAGCTTCACAGCGCCTGATCGGGCAATGTAAGCAGTGCCCCCAGGAGCCGGTGATCGCACTCGGCGGTCAGCTGCTTCTCGGCCCGTTTCTTGCCGTCTCGATTTGGAAATACTGTGGAGCACACTGTGAGAAAGACCAATGGACCGAATTTCTTCACAGCAAGGGTTCTGATCTATAGTATGGGAGCGCTATGTTGTCCAGAAAAGGAATTATACCTGAAGATTTTGTTCTCACGCGTTTAGCGGAGGATGTCTCGCAACCCAGGTACCGAGCCAAGCAGAGGAAAGCTCGTTTTGTGGCAAAGAATGGGACTTGCAATGTGGCACACACGAACATCCGAGAACAAGGACGGTTTTTGCAGGACGTTTTCACCACCTTAGTAGATTTAAAATGGCTACATACTCTTATAATATTTACAATGTCTTTCCTGTGCAGTTGGCTACTGTTCGGTATGATCTGGTGGCTTATAGCTTTTGCACATGGGGATCTGGACCAGAAAAGCGACAGCTTTGTCCCGTGTGTGACCAGTATTCACTCTTTCTCTTCGGCTTTCCTGTTCTCAATCGAAGTGCAGGTGACTATCGGCTTCGGGGGGCGAATGATTACGGAAGAATGCCCATCAGCCATTCTGACTCTGATCATTCAAAACATCGTAGGTCTGGTTATCAACGCCATCATGCTGGGCTGCATCTTCATGAAGACTGCTCAAGCCCATCGGCGAGCAGAGACGCTCATTTTCAGCAAGCACGCTGTCATTGCAGTCCGGAATAACAAGCTCTGCCTAATGACTCGAGTAGGGGATTTGAGGAAGAGCATGATCATTAGTGCTACCATTAAAATGCAAGTAGTGAGGAGGACCACTACAGCAGAAGGGGAGGTGGTCCCCCTCGAACAGATAGATATCCAAATGGAAAACCCAATTGGGACAAACGGCATTTTCCTGGTATCCCCACTCATAATATGCCACGTCATTGACAAAAATAGCCCTCTGTATGAGATCTCTGCCAGTGATTTGCACAACGAAGATTTGGAGGTGATTTTAATATTGGAAGGGGTGGTAGAAACCACTGGCATCACGACCCAAGCTCGAACGTCTTACTTGCCAGACGAAATCCTGTGGGGACGACGATTTGTACCCGTTATCTCTGAGGAAGAGGGTAGGTACTCTGTGGATTACTCCAAGTTCGGAAACACGGTGAAAGTACCAACTCCCAGCTGCTGCGCTAAAAAACTTGAAGAAGAGGGAAATCTTCCGAGGGTCAAGCTTCTTGACTCACATTCGCTAAAGAGTACCGTGAGAAAAAGAAACGCTTCTGTGCGCGTCAAGCCAAGAAACGACAATCAGTAACTTTATTATAATAAGTATTATTATTGTAATGTTTGCTACGCACCTCACATTTATACCTGAAACTGTTTTTACCAATCGAGAAAGCAAGTATGTTTAGTATCATGATGAAATGAAATAATTTTGCCTTTGTTTTTAAAATTTGGTAGGTTTTTAATACCTGCACTTTTGATACTATCCGTGTATTAAATGGATCTAAATTGTATACAGAAATCTCCAAGTAAAATATTTCATGTTGTACTTAACATTGACTGTTTTTAAGAGAAATATGATTGTATGACAAAACATTTATCACCTGTACATCTACAGTTGTACACCTAGGCTACTTACTGAACGAATGTTTTAAACAATTAAAGTGCATGTAGTTTTTGTATCTTAAGTCTCCTCAGGGTACATGTTAAAGCCTTTGATGATTGCTGAATGCTTTATGTTAGCGTTGCTGCGTTATTTTTTTCTAAAAATACATTTAACTTCAAAATTAAAGTTGCAATATCTGAATTATAAATCACCTATTATCCCTTTGTTGCAACCTCGGTAAAATTTTCTGTCCATAAACTACAGCTACCTTAATAAACACTTGAATCGCATACTCCTAGTTTAACAAGACTGGATGTTTAATAACTGGTACGATTTAGGGAATACTTTAATTGAACCAAATCTTAGAAAATGTTTTTGTATGGTATTATTTTAGGAGGCGTAGTATGCAAATCTCACATGGACAATTTGATCCTTACGGTTTGAGTGTCCAATTCCCGTTTAAATACTTTTCTAATACTCATTCGCAGTTTTACATTTTAAGAACGGAAATGCCTAAGATGTATGATATCGTGGTCGTGTCGTACATTTAACATTTATGTAATTATGACCGATTTGCATGCTATATATCATTTATACATAATTTTATCGTTGTATTAAGGTTTACGCATGGTATTTTAATTTGTCATTCATTACACGAATATATATAAAGGATCATTAAAATTTGCATTGAAGGAAATGTTACATTCATTTTTTCTTGAACTTCTGCTGCCCTCTTTTGGAGTTTATTGCCATTGCTCTAATGGATGACGAGCCTTGCAAAATAAGCGAAGACTAAATTCAAATTGAATTGCTTACTTTCTGCACAGGGCCTTTGAGCTCACGATTCCCTGCAGTATATTTGACACATACCGTATCTCGCTGATTATAGCATTAAAACACAGTATCGCATCGCACAGTAAATTTGGCAGTGGCTTCAGCCAAATTAGACCTGAAGCGCCGGTAATACTGCATTAACTCTATCTCACTATGGACTGCAACATCCAAGAATTAGATGCGTTGTGACGATGATGATAGTTGCGTTTTGTCTTACCGTGGCCACAGGACAGGGGGGTTTGAGCCCTGCTCAGAGAGTGAATCGAGGAGCAGCTGAGAGGTGCACATGGGGTGGAGGAGGGACACTGGAGACGAATGTAAAGGGGGCTGATTGTTCGACATGTATGTCTGCGTGATATTGACTTGTCGTGAATACGTTCCCTCTAAAGAACTGAAATTCTGGACACACCCTCTGTCGTCCCAAAATCCATGTGTTGCCAATTATTTCAGAAAAGACTCAAAAGAAGTCATGTGTATTTATTATACAGTAACTAGTTTTTGCTTAATACCAAAATAATTGACATCAAACTAAAGCATTTCCCACAAACAAACGCAACAAAGTTAGAAATGTAGCTTAATTAGACCATAAAACAATTTTCAGTCTACTCTAATGGCCGCACGGTCAAAGTTTATAAATGATAGCAGCAGATAAGGCACCTACAGTATTTTGATAGTTATGACCTTTTGTTAATGGTTCCTCTGTACTGCTACAAACTCTTCATTTTCTTATTGCTGTACTTTGCATTGTTGTGTCCAGGCTAGAACTTTCTTCTGTTCGTTTTTGATAGAGCTGGTCCCTTAATCACTTCTGCTACTTGATGCTTGGAAGTGATTAGCTTATTTGTTTACATTTTTTTCTGCATTCTGTCTCTGGTTTCAAAAATGATCTTGTTAGAGTTTCCAACAACCTCATAATACTGATGTTTATGCACTGCCTCTTTTACCTCCTGTACGGTATTAATTAATCACTTCTGGATAAAAAAAACCTCAGATCCTAAGATGAATTATCCACTAGCAACCAAACAAGCAAGACTGCATTTTATAACCTATTGTTTTATGATATTTTTTATGTTCTAATTGTACTGCCTTCCTGAATATAAGAATTATCTGTTTCTTTTCTAGATTTTGTTTTTGCTTTAGTAAGATCAATTATCCCTTATTATGAGTGCGTCCAATTGGTTTCCAAACCTATTCTTTAACTTGTTCAATCATTACTTAATTAGAAGGCATTAACGTGCTTTCCAGATCTCTATTCATTGCCACTTTAAGTCTAACCTTAATCCTGCAAGACTTTGGATCTTTGTGATCTCTGATCTGCTATGAAATAAATAAAAAGGTAAGGTACAGTAGCCAGGAACGGGAGATTATTTCTGGTTTCTAGGTTCCGCACACAAGAGGGAGCTGTTGGCACTAGGTATTTTTATATTTTGCTCTAAATGGGTGGTACAGTGGTTTGCATTACTAACTTGTAGTGCTGGGGCCCTGGGTTCAGTGCTGGACCTGGAGTGCTGTCTGTGTGGAGTTTGTACAGTATGTTCTAATGGCACTAATTTTGTCAAACTAATTTAAAATAGGAGGGTGTTTATTTAAAGGGGATTCAGGGGTAAGAATTAGATATTATACATTTATTTTTAAAGTTTTTAATATTTTGTTTTTATATGTGTTCAGCTCAGTTTATAAGGTTTCATTTACTTGCTCCTTTAATTTTCCTACTGAGTATAAGCATAACTATTAGCAGAGCTGACATACAATACCTGGCAAGCAAGCCCTTGAAAAGAAAAGGCTGCAGTACAGCTGTACAAAAAAAGTAAAAGAGATCTGTTGAATGACCCTATGTTTCAACTATTAAATGTTTAGTTCTCCCAGTTTTGTAAAATGAACGTTTGAAGATGGGAACTCAAGCCATATTTCTCAGATAAAAATCTAATGTTGAAAAAAACACCTCTGTAATACAAAAGGCTAAACTGTAAATAAATAAATGCATTTACATTCATTCTTATATAATGCAATTATACCTATGATGCATATGTGACTTTTTGGAAAAATCAGAGGACTGATCCGATCATTTTAGATTATGAAGTGCTTTTTGACACTGGCACTCCAGCAGGCAAGATGTAAATTAAATTCGTGTAAATCACACTTTATTTTCCCTTCACTCATCTATAATATTTAGGACCTATATCTTCCGAAAAAAGAAAAGACATGCTGGTAGGTTAATTGGCTTCTGGGGGAACTGGCCCTGGTGTAGCGTGTGTTTGTGTCTGTCTGCCCTGCGATGGACTGGCGTCCCAGCGAGGGTGTGCCCTGCCTTGCGCCTCTTGCTTGACGGGATAAGCAACAGCTTCCCCAAGACCCTGAATCGGATGCAGTGATCAGAAAGCGAGTGAATGCGCTAATGTCATGTATCAATCCCACTGAGCTCTAGTGTATGACTTTATCCATCCGCCCACTTTCTAACGCTTAATCCACTTCAGGGTTGTGGGAGACCCCAGTAAGTAATGGATGCACGGCCGGATACACTTTGGGATGGACAGTCCATTGCAGGGCAGTATGATTTTTCATGAACAGTATTATTGTTAATGAAATATTCCATTATAACTATTTCAATTATAAATAAAATGATAATTAAACAATGTTTGCGTTTAATTCTAATGATAATTGTGAAATGTTAAAAGTGGAACAGTTGATGAATGTTGTTTCGGTGATTATGTGCACATTATATTAACCACAGTATTCCAGCAACATTTTATTTAAGGCACACCATCGTAGACCCACACAGTGCTACAGTTTGCATATTCCATTTGATACTAGGAGAGACCTTTGTCTGCAGTTCAAATGCAATATGTTCAGATTTCTACATTATATATTCAGTAACTATTGGAATGTATAATCTACTCTTTACACTCTGTATAACATTAATTAATGCTACGGTCATTCAATGTGTATGTCTTTCAAACATTCAAAGGCAGTGACTGTATACATTTTGTGGCAGTATTTTACATACAACTCAAGGTTACTTGCAATTCGCTCTTGGCAAACATTATTTACACAGAACCTTTAGTTATAGACGTCTGCAAATATTGTGCGACTGATAACTCATAAAATATTAAATTACGTTCAGTTTGCTTCTGTTCATATTTTACTCAAGAGAACTAATTTGGCAGGAAGGCTCATGAGTTACAAAAATTGAAGTGACACTTTAAATAGGTCAGACGTGAACCAGCTCAACGCCAAAATTATTTGCCTGGAACCTAACCCGAGAGCTAACCAAGAGCTCTCTCACTGTTAAATAAATATTAAGGATCTGCTTGGAATAAAAAAAAAAAATCCATTCCCACTTTAACAAAGTTCTGTTAGTACCATTTTCCAAAAATAACATCGGCCAGTCATCTCGCGGCTCTGTGGGAAGGGCGCGTCAGTGCACAATCCAAAGATTTCTGCTTTACAGCTCTTTTTCTATGCGGTGCAGATCAGCTGTGCCATTTCTCTTCTCTGGGGGAGAGAGACCAGCGGAATGAACGCGAGATGTCAAACTCCTCAGCCGCTTGTCCCCTGTCACACTCTCCATTTTGCCCTGGTAAAACTTTGCCCCTCTCACTGGTCCTGGCCTGCTTCCATGGCAACCCAGACCCTCACACTCTAGATGTAATGTATACTGAGCGGATCCTCCTGGCCAGCATGGCCTCTAGGTCCTCCAGGGGCTCTCGCCCCTGTACTCTGCTGTTTGGATTCAGCACCTGCGTCTTGAAAGCTTCCTGCTCCACCAGCCCTTCCATGCTCTGCAGGAAGTAGCTTTCACAAAACAAAGCCAGCTCTGTGATGCTGTGCACCTGTACAAACAGCACAAAAAAAAAAAAACAGAGGAAGTTTGAATGACTGGCTTTTTCCTTTTGCCTCATCTTAAACAACTTCTATTTTAAAAGAAAACGATCAAGTGAACTTTTAAATTGCTTATCTTTTAGTGTCCTGCCTCAAAATAAGGCTGGTGTTTGTTGTTTTAGTTTTTCTTATCAGTCCTTTATGTTGATCAAAGCCAAATGAGAGACAGAATACAGATACAGAAATAAAGAACTTGCAAAAATTGGCAAGGTTGCAAATTATTTAGATTTACATCAATGGAACTTTTATCTATCAGATAAAATGAAACCAAAACCATAACAATGAATACATTTACTGTTGGTAGTACTGTATATCTTAATCTTTATTATTCTCTCAACATGTCCATCTTTGGCTTTTATTTTTGCTCTCAGTGAGTACTATTTACATCAATAATTTCTTCTGCCACCCTAAACCTTTCTCACACAACAGAAAGCATTTTTTCTTTGTCTTAACATGCTTTAACAAGACATTGTACAGTATAACTACACAAAAGCAGCGTCCAGTTAGATTTGACGTTTGCATTGGTGACCGTGATTTCCAGAATACCACACAACGTTTTCCAGAGTTTTCCCATATTTGCCAATGAAGCAGTTGTCGGAAATCATTTGAGCTTAACCTAAAATCTAAAGGTAGAGTACCGGAATTAAATAACTGGCTAAGGCCACATGCAGGACAAGCAGAGGGGTTGAGTGCTGTGGCAGATGTAGCCAGTGCACGCTGTTGGACCACAGGCTCATTCAATAGTATAGTACAGTACTGTATGTGTTCATTACTACCCACATGGCTTTGTGGGACACATTCACTAAGCAATGGATACAAGAGAACAAGGATGAATGTAAAATTTGTTTTACATACCCACATAGTACTTCAGAATTAAATCTGTATCTACCTGAAGTTGTACTTCTAGTGGAGTACTAACTTGACGAAGAATTTCATGGGTTTTACTGCTTTTACAATTTCAACAATTCTTAAAACATCCATCAGGTTACCATTTTACATACTGAAAAATGTTAAGTATGAATGAAAAAAATCTGCACATTGGCTCTCAATGGCATAACACTTCAAAAGTGTAAGAGGTTTTTAAAGTCAAAGTGGCTAGTACTGTTTTTGGACTAAAAATCACTTGGAATCCTTTTTGCTTTTGTAAATTCAATTGAACTGACTTTTTTCAGTTATGCTCTTGATGTTAAAATAAAAATATTCTAAATTTTTGTTAATTTTTACTTGAAACAATACTACTTCCCTTTTAAATGCACAAATAAATAACATTATAATTTAGATGTACTACTACAGTAAATGTAATACTTGTCTAATACATTATTTTAAAATGAAGTCAAAGAATGTGGCCCCTCATCTTGTGATTAAACAAATTACATTATTTTAAGATTATTTTAAAACATTACATTGATTATTTAAGGACTGAGAAGTTTAAACATGCCCTCCTTCCCTTCCATTCATATGAAAACTCACTCTGACAGAGGAACAGTACCTTGGCTGAACGATATATGCTGACTGCATTTTCCAGGGTGATGTTCTGACAGCAGATAACCTCACAGTGGCGCTGTAGGGCTGGGAGCTGAAAGAGACTGGCTGCAGAGAGCAGCTGGAGATCGGGGACACACGGTTACTTTTCTGGATTTCAGATAAGATATTCAGATAACTGACCATTGGCAACATTGGTCCATACAGTAAGTGTTGGCCAATACCCCTGATTTCTGATACTACAGTGAGAACTAACCGAACGTATATCTTTGTCAAATTAACTCTTTATACTGCAGTCTGTAGTAATATACAGTACAATTAATCACAAACTTTTTTACATACTGTAGGAGACATAGATGACATAGTTAAATCTTACAAAGACTTTGAGAATGCTGTTCAATGCCACATTTCTCACAATTTCTAACTGTCAGGCATTAAATGAGAAAGTATTGCTGGATTCTCACCTCTAGTACATCAGACACAGGAACTAGCAGTGATTCTGCCCCTCCACAGTACAAGTATTTCATCATCATCTGGAAACAAGAACTTTTGATGAGTTCTGGTCTCTTGGTCAATTTAACATCAAAATTTACTGTAAATTGCTTGAGACGGAGGTTTTTACTTTGAAAATGATTTATCACAACCAGGTTTAATAACATATATGCTATATAGGATCGTTTTTTTCCCCTCTTGAACAGGTTTCCTCTAAAATGTCAGCAGTGTGGAGCAGCAGTATGGGTTTAGACTCGTAACTGCGAGATTGTGGGTCCACATCTCAGGTGAGAAACAGACAGATCGAAGGGAGAAAGAACCAAGAGCACAGAAAGCAAAAATCCAAACGTTTTTTCTTTAATTAATTTATGCTCATTACCTCAAATATCCTGTACCTGACGTCAGTGATCTCTATGTTCTTGCGGTTGTGGGTATCTGCAGACCCAGTGGGACTCAGCAGAATCTTAAACCTGGTGGGCAAATGATCAAGCACAGGGAATAACTTTAAAAGGGCAGTACTTTGTCCTCGGACATCTAGAAAATGTAATTATGCTTGAAATAATGAATAAAAACTGGAAAAAAGACGCACCTATGAGTACCTTCCCTCTTGCAATAATTTACGAGTTAAGGTGCTTTATAAAACAAAGGTTATTAATTTTTACATGGCTTGTGTCTTTTTGCACATGTTTGTACATCAGTAAAATAAAAATTGTAAAATTAAAATGATAGAATGAATAATATTTACCTGAAAAAAAGTTGGTTTCACCTATAACTGCCTATACTGTATCCCGTTTAAGATACCCTGCCCCAGAGTGTAACACGGTTAGTACACAGCAGCCACTATCAATGACGGCAGACTCTCACTCACCTTTCAGAGGCGCTCATGAGTAGGACCTTGTGACCATAGAATGGCTTTCCCTCAATCAGGAATGTCACATCAGACATCTCTTTATTGTTCAGGAAATGGGGGTCTGGTTTGAAAATAGAAATCTCATCAAAGTCTGCAATGGCAATCTGATTATGAAGTTTAATAATACAAGCACATGGCCAGTTTCCCAGAGATGCTTTTCAAAACTGTAACTTACAATTTCATTCAATGCAAGAGTCTATGCATGTCAGACAAGCAATCGGTAAAACGCTAAAGATATAAAGCAGATCTAAGGTCTGAATCAGCGATGATGTGCAGACAGTGCTCTGGCAGGGACGCTGAATCGATCCTGACCAGTATGACCAGAAACTTTCACTTTTATACACTTAAAGACAATGAGGTTAAAAATGCGGAAACAAGAAAGAAAGTTTTTTTCATGTGAATAAGACACCTGACACATTAGTGAAGGTATTCAAAGTGTCTGTGAGAAGTGATCATCAGTCCTTTAACAGAATACCGAACAGCAATTTTAACAACATGCAGGTGTAAAACCTAGGGCTGCTAATGCATAATTGTTGTATGGCATCCTGAAGTGGTCATCACAATTTCTGAGAAATCAGACAGTTTTATTGTATTGTATCATTTTGTATATCAAACACTGTGGGATCACGTAGGATGAAAGGCACTATAGAACTGCGATTACTACAGTATGTCTTGAAAGCAGCCAGAGTATCAGTTTTGATGACAAGGCTGGGTACCTTATTTCATATCCCTACAACCTTTTATGTGCAAAATGCCTCCAGTTCTCCTGCTCAATAAAACAGGACAAAGTCCTGGTGAATGCACTGTGCTGTATTTCCAAGTTTGTATTTTTCTATTGATTTGGGGTTCATTGCCTTAGAGGATAGTGGTGTTTGTGCTTCCTTATGTTTTCAACAAGCACTTTACCGAATGTAACCAGGGGAATAGTTAATGAATAAACTTTTCTAAGTTTTAATACCCATAGTTCCAGTAGCTAATGATAGTTCCATGGCCCACTGATGTAAGGGTCAATAAAGCCATATTTATATGACTAAAAGAAATGATAAATGTACACAAATAATCCACTGATAATTAATTAATGTAAACTTTCATTAGGAGATGTTTTACTCAAAGAGCTGGACTGTACATCCTTCATTTTTTTCATGCTAATACCAATAATGTAATAATAATATTATAATGTATAGAATATGATTCCAGGTAATTTTCAGTGCATCACAAAGCTAAAATAATCACTGCTGCTCAAATAAAAGAGGATGTACAACTTAACCCTACCTAATTGGGCTGGAAGTGTTATCTTGACTTCAGGAATTATTGGTAATGGACCTTTCCCGTAACAGTGACTGAAGATGGATGCCAGCTGCTGGTTAATAGCATCATTCTGTGGTGAAGAGAAAGAAGAAAACACATTGAGACATTAAAGCAAGAAACACAAAACCTCAAAACTCTTCTCAAATGGAGTTTACAGCAAAGGTTCGGAAGGGAAAGCAGCAGCCAAGTTTAATTGGCCTTAGCTGTCCTAGACTGTAATCAGTGATGCTGTTCCTTCAGTTTCTAGAAAACTATACTGCTGGTAAGTCCCTTTGCTTTAGCCACTCTCCTGAGGGTCCCCCCTTCCTTGTACAGGGGCCAGAAGGTCGTCCCAAAAATCAAGAAACGTCATGAATATTCACGAACTTTGCCAAAAACATCCACATGCTGTACCTGTATCTGCTCTCGACTTCATTTATTCTTTTCCCCTCTGTGCCCACTAGAGGCCAGTGACAGTAGTGAGAACTGTGTACACCATCCTGCTTCCAAGGAGCTTATCCTACCCCATGGCCCTGCAGCTACTGTACATTCTCTGAAACCATCATCAAACCAATATTTATTTAGTGTGTGGTTTCACCTTGCTTGTCCTGAGGATGGAGAACATAAGTGGTAGGCCTTGGCTGACCAGTTCTTCACAGTAATCCTCTTCCCTGATGGTGGAGAACTCCCGCAGGAGGGTCAGGGTAACTGAGGTCCTGGACTGCTGGTGGGAGCTCCGCAGAGACTCCAGCCACACGTGAAGCTTCCAGGGCACACCTATGAGCAAATACAGGAAATACAGAGTGCTCTTCTCTGCTTACCCTCTACAGATGGATAACTGTACGATATGGATGTTACAATAGTACTGTCAACACAACTCTCTTCAATTCAAAATAAAAATGACATTTTCTAAAGCAAATTAGAGTAAAACCCCAACCCTTCTGCATCTGGATTGTGCTAAAGTGCTGTGAATATACTCAAAGCATCTTGGAGAGTGTGTGTAATCTCAAACATTCTTAATGACTTGCAGACAACAGCATGACCACATTAGTGATGCACAGGCTAACAAACCAAATGCATCTGTGTATCAGAATTCGCTGGAAATGATCTGCTCATAAACAAGTGACAGTCAAGAGAAAATGGCTCAATGCATAGAGACACTATTGTCACAACTAGAAGAATGTTTTATAAATATCAATAAGAGATGTCTAAAATAAGCACTGCGCACAGATTATGAATGGAATAAGTAGGAACGAGAATGATTTCTGCTGCTTGCCCGTGGTTCCAAATGAAAAGAAAAGTTCTTGAAGGAGATCTGAACACTGCCAGCTGCCCACGTGCCAGCAGGACTTACCCAGTGAGCGCAGCTCCATGGTGACGTCCAGGTAGCCGTGCTCTGCGCTGTAGTAGGTGGCTTCCTGCAGAGCCTTCATGCGGGCCTTGCACAGCTTGAGCTGCCCCCCGCTGGGACTGAAAGGACGGCAAACGGGGGGCTGCCCCTCCACTCCCTCCGCCAGGATCTCCTCCAGAGACAGGACGTCCTGCTTCACCTGCTGGGGCTGAGTCAGCAACTTCCGCAGCACGTTCCTGCAGGACAGAAAGGACACTGCAGTCACACATGTAGGCTTTCTAAGGCAGGCACCAGTTGCCATGAGAACCGAACAAAGATTACAAATAAGAAGAAACCATTGTCTCCATCTAGCTAAAAACAGGAAACTTGTTTCACTGTTAGGAGTTAATGAATCCCCTGATAGTCAGGTTGCATACGCTCGAACGTTTCATACTTGTATCTGTGAAACAAACTTGTAGGTTTCTCCTATTAACACCTTGCAAATTTGTCAAGAACCGGGTCACTGGTTTTAGGTCCTACTGTGCTTAACATACTGTAGGCTCTGAGGGATCCGCGGACTTCTTTAGAAATAGATTAAAGATGGAATTTGCAATAAAAATGCGTCTTAAAACATCTGACCACAAAATAAGAAAAGATGAGACAGTGATGCTAAAGGCACCGCACCTGTGTCCATGAGCTGCTGCATGGCTGAAGCAATTCATATCTTCGTAAAGTGATGACGTCAGACCATTGGGATCGCGTATCCTCAACATGGGGTCAGCCCCACGCGCTAACAGAAGGCTCACCATCTCATAGTTACCTGAGGAGGGAGGAAGTAAAAGTTGCTCAACAACAGTGGAAACCAACACTCACAAATGAACTTCCTGCAGCCATGTTGGGGAAGGGTATGCCACGAAAAAATACATTCTTTCAGCAAGAACTCATGCAGTTATAAGGGTTAGTAAGCTGCCTATACTACTTAACCTCTAAATAACTTCTTTCTACCTTTTATTCTACCTTTTATTTCTACCTTTACTAGTATTAATAACCAATGCCAGCAGCCACATCACCTTGCAACACACTGAAGCTAAGCAGGTGTCAGCCTGGTCAGTGCCTGGATGGAGACCCCCTGGGAAAGCTAAGGTTGCTGCTGGAACCAAATAAAAATCCCAGGGCGTTTCTCAAAAAGAGTAGGGGTGTTACCCCGGCGTCCTGGCCAGATTTCCCATTGGCCTTTCCCAATCATGGCCTCCTAATAATCCCCATCTATAAAATTGGCTTCATCACTCTGTTCTCTTCCCCAATGATAGCTGATGTGTGTGTGTGTGTACTGGTGCATCATCCAGGTGGGGCTGCACACTGGTGGCGGTGGAGGGGAGTCTCCATTACCTGTAAAGCGCTTTGAGTGGAGTGTCCAGAAAAGCGCTATATAAGTGTAAGGAATTCTTCTTATTATTAATGCTATTCACTTGCTTTAATGTATACAAAGGTTAATGTATTATTTATTATTTGATCCACTTGTCCCAGAGATCTCTCTCACACTACATGCAGAGATTTGCTTTGTGAGCTGAGTATCCTGAGAGTGACGACGCACAGGAAAGCAGTACACCTTATATGTGTACTTAAATGTGTCTCCCCTAGGCTTCGGACATTCTTATAGAAGCCATTACAAAATGAGTTCCACAAATGGAGTAAAATAAGCGAAAGGCATACAATGCCAATAACAAGAATATTGAGTGGTTAATGTTAATATTTAAAGTTTTATATTACAGTGCTCAGTAGCCCTTTGGAGATCTTCAAATAAAAGCCACATAAATAAAATTATACTTTCGGAAAAAAAAAAACAGCATGTCTGAAATAATTATGATGAACTGGAAGAATTGACTACTGCTCCTCTTTGACTGGGACTAGTTTCGTGACCAGTGCTGGTGTGCTCGGGCCAGCTCAGTGGGCTGTGGGCGCTGGCCGAGGCGCGGATTCCTGCGGGGGGGTGCTGTGGTGTCCAGAGGCGTGCTGCACCCACCTGCTGCTGATGCCAGCTGTAGGGGCGTCTCGGCATAGCTCTCCTCCCCATCGGTGACGGCTGCGCCCTCCACATCGGCTCCAGCATCCAGGAGGAGCTGAGAGCAAAGATGCGAGCACAGCGTTTGAGTTTCAACCGGCAAGCGCGCGCAACTGGCCTGCTCTCACTGTCACGCCCTCATTTTGCACTGTCTGTTCCAAAAGGATCAGCTGCAGGGTAATTATTCATTACAGTATGCGGGATCAGGGTAATCTGAACACTAACAAACAGCAACAAGATGGAACGAGTTATAATAATTCAGCAGCCCAGATGAGAAAAGTTAAATAATGTTTGTAATAACCGTTACAACTAGGAATATAAACAAATCTGACAATGACTTGTAGGTGTACGGAAAACACACATATCACATGTTGACTGCTAATCTGAGCAAGAGTTGAGTACCGCAGAACAAAGGAATGTAATATAAGATATTAATTAACATTCACAGAGGTCTCACATCCACCTTTACAAGTAGCAGTGTTTGGATCATGCAGAGCAGCCTTAGCAGAAATGCCAGACCTATTCACAAAATAAATGTGATTTGACCCTTTGTGATCAGAATTTTATTTACTGTATTTTAGGATAAAACCCGATAAAAAGAACAACATAAATCATCAGTTCTGCTTAGGATCCACCTCCCTTCTCCCTGCCTTTCCCTATCCCACCCCATCACTCACCATGATATATGGATATTTTATAATTGCGCACTGCTACAGTCCTTGTTCAAATAGGAGATCATTTATTTCCCTATCTTTGCCCAGTAATGACTATTAACAACTTACTCCTGCTAAATATACAGTATGCCTAAGAGTCATAGCAGAAGAGTTGCAGCACCCTCGAGTGAAACCATTCATTAATTACCACACGGCTAAATGATTTACCTGGACCACAGAGATGTGGCCATGAAGCACTGCAAAAGTTAGGGCAGCCCAGTGTCGGCTGTCTGGGTGAACCGATGGGTGTTTGAGAGAGTACCCTGGGACCTGATGAAGAGAAGATGTTAGCTGAGCAAGAGAATCTGCTTTTTGAAGCAACTTCAGACATTTTCTATGAGCAACACTATGAGCGACTGAACTCTGAGCCCTGATTTTTAAGACTGCATGGCTCTACTGGATAATTTCTTTGCAATTAGCTGCACAATGTTGCATTAAAGAAAAGAGAGAAAAAGCAGGCTGGCGCATGTTTCATCTCAAGAAAGAACACTGACAGTGTTGCCTGCCTCTGTTGGATGCCAATGAATGCTGATAAATCTCTTCACACCTTTTCTCCATTTTTTTCTTAAAATCTGCCACTCTGTCGTGCTGTGGCATAGCTAGATAATGTATTTGATCCTTGGAGATTGCTAACTAAGATTCGCTTCATTATTAGTGTTCAATAGTGGCTCCTATGCCAAGCTGTACAGTAGGCTTAAAACATCAAATGAACAAAAGTCACTCTGTTTCACACAGTCTTTATGTCATCAATTGACTGGCAGCACATTCTGAAAAGATGTGCTTTCAGATTAACACCCTTCACACTGTAGTGATTTTTTAAAAAAAGGACATGCTTGATTTTCATTTGAAAATGTATTCTTTCCTGACAGAGAGGGTGGAATCTCAGAGAAGGCCCTAAAAGAGAACTGGAGAATGAAGAAATGCACTAATGCAAAAGCCACCACTCACTGCTAAATCCAAATTGGCTCCAGCATCTATCAGCATCTGTACCAGGGCCTCGTCTCCTATTGAACAGGCATACATGAGTGGGGTCATGCCCTGTTGGAAGAGACGAGAGAGCTCACGCCACCTGTTGGTCCACTCACTGTAGGTTTCTTTTCTGGCACATTCCAACACTGGCCAATCTTGTAATAAAGTAGGAAACTATTTGCAAGATAATATGAATAATTTAATCAAGTCTGGAATCCACATCCAGCAGAGGAAATCTGGAAATCAATGGCAGTGACATACAGATATACAGTGATATACTGTACAGTCCAAAGACAGGTATTCACAATGGTTCTGAATTTTGCGTCTATGCATATCCAGTTTAGCTGGGAATATCAATTATATCAATGTGCCATATCACTTATGCATGTATGTGATGCGTTATTTTTTCAAAAAGAGTATGCACTGTCCCCACCATTACAGTCAAATGTACTGCAATTATAGGTGAATTCAACTTTTTTAACATTGAAGGAAGACACACCAGTATCAAGATATGTTTCAATGTATTTTACCAACAGTAAGAGCTGTCTGATAAAACACGTTTACCTACAGTACACCAAGAACAGAATGTGACCAGGGGGGCTTACAAAGATTTAGACATCTGCCCAACAACAGGAGAAATGACAACTACTGTACAAATTGAGAAATTACAGCATCTCACTCAGTACCACAAGTTCTCTCTACTATAATGCTTGTGTTAGGTATTCAGGCTTGTATTATGAGATGTCACTCAATGGTGCTGATGTTCAGTAAAAGTCCTTTTACTGCATAAGATTAAAATACATTTTGGAAATTTTAGCTACCTGTTCTTTAAGCTACCATACCTTTATAATACAGGGAAAATCGGTTTATTTTAGAGAGTTCTGAACGGCAAAGTCCATAAATATTAGTTTTTGTAGTGTTGTGCAGTGTCATACTTTTAGGACTTTGTGCATACTGTATATGGGTAGTTTAAATGTAAGAAATATTTGTTTTAAATTGTCCTCTATCTGTTCATTCCATGTGTACTAAAAGCTACAAGGTGAATAAAAAGAATCAATGTGCCTTTCTGCAGTGTAACCTGACAAGAAGGGTGTAATATCTTAAATGAGTCCTTTTTTATTGTACAATAACTGGTCAGGGCCTGATATTTTAATATTTGTTGATGCCAGCTATTCCAGAACGATATTTGCTGCCTTTAAATGGTTCATTTTAATTTTTTTAATAAAACCTTTAAAAAATCCAGATCAGTACTGATCTCTTCTTCACAGTAGTACTGCCCCCGCTGATCTGCTGCTGTGTGGAGCCAGTCAGACTGAGAGGCAGAGCGCCACACCTGGTCGTCCATGGTGTTTACGCCATCCGGCCCCAAGAGCTCGATGGCCTGGCTGATCAGGTCTGTCCTGCCACAGTTCAACATGCGGAAGCCCAGGTCCAGCTGGAACTTGTCTGTAGCCGCCTTGGCATCTAGCCTCCTGAAAGAGCTGAAACAGCATTCCGGCCTGCAGGGGAGAGGAGGTGAAAGAGAGGGGGCCCACATTGGTTTTTACCATGTTCTGCAGCCAAGGTAAGCTTCACGATTCCCTATACTTGTTTTTGTCTTCTCTGCAGGCAGGATGCGAAAGCAAAGCTGGAGAGTTGCATTAGCTAATAGTTTCAAACACTTTCACCTGCTAAAATAGGTCTCAGTAAGTATCAGTAATGTTGTTCAACCAATATTCCAAGGCTTTCTTTCCTGTGAGATGATGAATGTTGCTTCTTTGCGAGTTTGTGAATTGTGAAGTTTAAAACTAAACTTAGTTTTTTTTTCTAATCCATTTTCTTCATTCTGAAGTTGAGCATTTGCCAGAGTCTTATTTCTTTAATGAAACATGCTTTCACAGTGAATTCCGCTTAAGCAACACTGATATGTGATATTGATTTTTATACCTGAGACTTCCGCTTATGCTAAAAACTGTAAAACATCTAAACACGGCCAACGGCCTCATGAATATCAGCAGGAAGAGGTGAAGGGTGTCTGGGGACCTAGTGGGCCTGCAGACAGGTGGCAGAGAAGAGGAGTCTGCTTACTTGAGCTGCCGCGGCTCACAGTCCAGTCCGGGGAGGAGCTGCCTGGCAGTCTGCCGCACATCGTCACTGTCCACCAGCAGGCTGCGGCGGTGCTCGGCGTGCACGATGGCCACGCGGATCCACTCCATCAACGGCGGCAGCAGGAGGAAGGGCCTGGCGGGGGTTGCGGGGGACAGACAGGAGGGAAACAGAGAGAGGAGAACGCTGTCATGCCAGGCCATGGCTGACAGGATTCACAGTACTGCTCCGCGGTGCCTCCGATTACATCAGGACCTTCTTCCACGCTCTACAAATCTTTTTTTTACGAAATTACCATATAATAAGGACAGACTAAAGTACTTTGACAGTGTAAATTCTTTTGTATTTTGAAATTTCAAAACTAGGACACTACTCGATTTAGATCCAAGCATATTCTGATACAGGAACAAGAAACGAATAAATTGTTCCCTCAGTTTTCTGTATAAATGATCTGAAGAGGGATCTGGACTGCCCAGGCCCTGTTCTCTTCCCAGAGGTGTAGAAACCTTCTCATTCCTCCTTCCACAGCTTCGCATTCTGCAGTCCTTATTAGATCACGTTGTTGCGCCTCTGGCTTTCACGGCTCCAATTTTTGTTTTTCCTTGGAACCTGAGCTGCTTTTCACTGCACATCAAACAGCAACCACCACCTTTGAAACTAAATAGCACGCCTGTCAATCTCTGGCCCATCAAAACATACACATTGTACATTAAGAATTATTTTATTGGGACTTCATCACAACAGTACCATCTAAGGGTCATGTTCATTCTTGAGGAAAATGGAAGCACTTTGTTTAGACTACAGTTCATCTGGAGTTTCAGCCAGTCAGGTTGGCCTATGGTCTTTATTTCTTCCTGCAGTGAGTAGAGTATGCTCAAAGGGGAGCAGAATGAAGAAATCTTCTTTCTTTAATCAAAGTTAAAGGTAAATCTCCCAGCATCACCTTGTACTATTCTCCAATTCCTAAATACGTAGGTATCATTCTATATGCCAGCTTTCTATCATGCACAGCTTCTCAAAATTATAAGCAATGGTTTCTCAATTCCTATCAAATCAAATATAAACCTGAATTCTTGAACCACATTATTCTGAAATGCTGAACTCGAAAATCACAAGCACTGTGTGTTCCCAGATGTGTAGAAAGCCATTTTCTGCGTGATGCCGTAATCAACTGTAATCAATAATCAACTGTCTTTTACAGTATACAGTAAGTGACCTTCTGATTTCTTTTTAATTGTAAGATAAATCTGTCTTCTTTGTATTGATTTCATTTTGTAGTATTAGCCTTTCAGCAAGTATATAGATGCAAGCAAATTAATAGTTGATGATGTGAACCGAGCTATTCCAAACTTTCACAAAAATATTAAATCTGCTACAGTACATTTTGGCAAAACATCTTCATAACACTTCGAAGTGATGATGGTGGAGTCGCAGTATAAGAAGTCTAGTTTCGATATTGACATTTAAACTGTTTAAAATGTTTAACTTAAAGGAAAAGATCAAATAAAACTGCCTGGCATCAATGTAAGATTGTCTATTATATGGGGGTGGTATTTATTTCCGTGCTTTTTTTATGTTAATTAATGAAGTTCCTTTTTCTTTTTTCCCTGAAATATTAAAACTCTGTATTTGCATGCCAAACAGCTGCAGCACACAGCAGATGTGTGGCAGGATGAACTCTCCCTCTCAGAGGCGAACTCATGAGACACACGCTGCCTTCTGTGGAACTCGGAGAAAACGCAGCACGCTGTTAACAATGGAGGCATTGGACTGCAGCTGTTCAACCCTCAGCACATTCAAATCCGCTCAAGGAAAGTTTCTTCAACCATAACAAAGTTTTCAGATACGACATCCACAGTGCCTTCTCGTGTTTGTATTTTGGGATGCGTTTCACAGTTTAAACAGATGCCACATCAAGATACGCTCACTTGGGAAAGCTCCCACCATCAAGTTTTCCACTCAAACTGTAGAATTTCACATTTTCCAGGTGCTGGTTCTTGAGGCTGCTTTCATACTTTGCTTCCCTGGAATGAGAGCTCAATCCACTGGGGAAAACAATATTTTGACTATGGCTGCTATTTTGTACAGACCCTGTTTAAACAAGGCCGTAACTGTCAATTTGTTTTCATTAAAGGTTCAAGACAAATTGAGCTCTACAGGGTAAGGCATGGATTTTAGCAAACACAGTACAGAGCTGTGGTTGTGGAACCAGCCCAATGCATCTGCCTGCTGTGCCCTGCTGATCTTATTTTTATACCAAGGTTACAAAACAAGCAATAAAAAACCTGGAGGATCGACAGAGCAATCGTGCATTTTCATTTTATGAACTGGACGCACACGAGGGAAAAGGATGAATTGTGAATAGATGATCATGGCAGATGCAAGAAATTAGAGGCTGGTTCAACATTATTAAACTGAAATTTCTATTTTTTTTGTTTATGAATTTGCAGTTTCCCCTCAAAATGTTGGATTTGTGTTTGATGACATCAAGGAGAAAGTATACCAATATGTGACAGTTGGTGTCACTGTAAAAGAAAGCATTACCAGCCTGTCTCTCTGTAACCGAAGATCTACAAATGTATATGCTTTTCCTAACATCCAGCGAACCTTTCTTTCCATTTCTTTTTTTTTATGATGGGAAGATTCTTGGAATAAAAAAAGGGCCTGCCGGTTCAAGGATTGTAAGAGAAAACATGATGCTGATGAGTATTTCTCCATGTTGTTAAGAGGTGAACCTTCATCTTTAATTGGCCACTGTGAGCGTCTTGAGCTACAGTATCTCCGCTCTGCTGATGTGTACCTTTCCTTGCTGAGGGCCATTCTGGGAGGGTCCAGGTTGGGGTTCTCCATGGACTCCATCTGCGGGCAGCGCAGGAAGTAGTAGAGAGTGTGCAGAGCGTCGGGAGACCAGGACACGGGCTGCTGGCGGCTGTGGCGCGCGGGGCTCAGGCCCGGCCTGTTGGTGCTCAGGCGCTGCATGTGATGCATCGCCCTGGAGACCAGGTCACCTGCGGGGGGGGGGGGGGGGAGCAAACCACAACTCTGTCACCAAGACGATGCTCCCAACCAGTGCGTCCCGGTTACAGCTCACAGAAGATGTGGCTTCATTGCTGTTATTTGTTTTGAAAGCATGGTACAGAGCTGTGGTTGAGGAACCAGAGGCTGTGCCCTGCCAAGGGCATCAATATTACAAAAAACACATCAGCGTTGCAGAAACCCTTCTTACTGGGACGTCCATAATCCTCATAACGTTACACCCCATCCATCCATTTTCTATTCACTTCACATTATAAGTTATTTAACAATTAACCAGTGGCCCAATAATTAAGGGTTACGATTTAAGAGTGAATTAGAAGATTTTGTTTTTATTTTTTTATTGCCTTTTTATTTCTACTGCTTAATTATTGCACATACTGAGGTTATTATTATTGAATCACTGAAAACTCTTAACTGTACAATATGTTTTATGAATGAACTGGTAAAATCTTAAAGTAAAGTTTATGCCTTTAAATCAACCATGTGAAAATGGGAAGAGCACAATTTATTTTTGTGTGGATAATATAATTATTGGATTATCTGACCACTGTTATGGTTCTTGGTCATGTGTTTCTAATTACGAATCATGTCATATTGTGTATGCTGTGACCAATTGTGCACAACCCACTGATGAGACCAGAATGCCAAAACACGTTATTGTTGAGCTGTGATACAAGTTTATTACATTGTCTTTTAAACATTATGACTAATTCGTTGGTTGAGCTGGCCTGGGGACGTCAATGAAATGTGACAAACACTCATTTACAGTATGTGATTTAATAAAGTCTTAATTTCTAAATACTTAGTAGTACATTTCTATACTGTAAGTACATTTCTGTAAGGTACAAAAATTTAGAGAATACTTGTTTTTCACAAAAGATGACATGCAACAGACTCTTACAATGAGAAAGGTATTACCATTCCAAAGCAGGCTTAGTCCTGACAGATTCAGATAGGTTTAACTAGATGAAAACAAGCTGATAAAAGTACAGTACATTTAATGCCAGAATCCAGTATCTGATGGTTACAATTGGCAGTCCATGGAATATTTTGTACCTACAAATATGTGTGGAATATTTTGTCTAGCAATTTATCAATTGAATAAGCTTTAAAACAAATTACATGAAGCAAAAAAAAATATTTCCTCATGGGACTCCTGAATCAGTACTGTAAGTGAAAAACACTTGCAACATCTTGGTCTGAATTCACTAGGAATGCAGCACAAGGGAATCTCAGTGGAGCGGAGGAGGCAGGACAGAGGAAGAGGGTCAGAAAAAGAATAAAGCATAACAGAACAGACAGAGGATACTGGAGACTCACAGTACTTCTCCCTCTGAAAGCTGTGTTTATCATCAGCAACTGAAGAGCTACTCAGTCTGGGCCAGTTTGCTTTGTGCATGAAAAGAAATTGAAAATGCATGCACGCATAGTTTCGAGACAGGTGAAGTAAATCCAAATGCAGAGGAAAAAAGTAAGGAGAAGCAGGCAATGCCTAATCAAACAAATCATCTCAAAGCTAATTTGTAACCAAAAAGAAGTGTCTATCCAAGTGGAAGTTAAGAGACTACAGTGTCTGCATAAGAAGGCAAAGCTACAGAAGCTCTTTGTATGTGGTCAAATCCCAAGGCTTCAGAAGTTGCATGGATAGGCCTAGTTTCCAAATTTCTACTTCCAATACCCTGGTGATCTGAAATACTTCCAGAGGTCAGATTTTTAAGCGGTTAGATTATTTTTTTTTTTGCATTAAAAAAGATGACCTCTTTACCCTCTACATAACTGCTGCTTTTGCTATGGAACCTATTGAAAAAAAATGCAAAGTTACCAATAGATGCCATTGATACATTCCTCTCAAGTTTTGGGGCCAAGACGTTGCCTGAGGACTAAGGTGCTAGAGGCTGAAAAATGTACATAGAGAGAGGTCTGTTCTTTATCCGTGAAGCTGAGGTATAAATGCACTTTTGTGCCGGGGGCACAAGCACAGGAGTGTTAAGTGAAATCCAAAGGAAAACTGCCCTTCCCAATTGCATGCTGAAGTATAAACAAACCTGCTTGGAGTTACTGATGAGCTGGAATTCATCAGTATTTCAGAAATGAAGAGCAGAAGAGGCTGGGTAAAGCAACACACACACACACACACACACACACACACACACACACACACACACACACACACACACACAACTCCGATAGGGTGGGATTCTTACATATGGTCCCAAAACGCCAGAATTCACAGTTTGGAGCTGAACTGAATATTAATAGAAATAGAGTCTAAGAAATGGTAGAGCCGCAGTAAATCTGTGCAATATAGATTGAAAAAATAAAATCAATTAAAATTCTGCTACCACACTCTAAATTATACTCCCTCGCCTGGCCTGGAAACTGTGTCTATACTTTATAAACAAGAGTGGTTTTCAGCTTTAAAGAAAGTAAAGCACAGTAGGGAGCATTTAATAAAAGACAATGACAACTGCAATTTCATTGAAGAATTAAAACCACAGCATATACCTGAGAAAAACCAAGAACACTTTCATGAATGAACTCCTTTTAAAAGAAACCAGGTGTTAATGACATTCTTAAATTTCAGTTTTCCACAGTTACTCTCCTGGGATTCTGCAACCTAGATTGGTGAGATTGTAACACAAAGCAAGAATAATCTCAACAGGCTGGCAGGTCCCAGGTGGTGCTCCTACTGCTTACATTTCATGCCATAAGGTGTTTGATGGCCTCATAAATGTGAAACAAGTATGAAATGAAATGAAAACGTTGTGCTAATTATAGAAGATCAAAGCTATGCTTTGCAATAACTCAAGGTATTGTTTATGAGGTGAAAGACATTATGTCTGCAGGCACTTCTTCCCTCATGGCTTTATCGTCTTATGCTTTGTAGTGTGAGAACCGTTGTCTCTTTAACGTGAAACTGTTGCAAAATCAACCTGCTAAGGTACGGCTCTGAGGCTAACCAAGGTTATCTGGTGCTGCTCAACATTGAAGCAGTTTCTGTAATTCAGCCTTGTGTCAGATGTGCTGTCCTCCTGAAAGACTACTGGATTAGTAGCAAATACAGTCTAAGTGTTGTCCTTCCCTTAGGAAGGTAAGAAAACGTTTCCTTAATGTTACTTAAAGATCTCCCATTAGGAAAGAATAACCCACTGAGCAACACAATCAATGCTTACACCACCAAGCATGCTATGAGCTATTACAAATACTTGTGTGTACCATATGTCATTTGTCAAAGGTGGTAGTATTTATAATATCCTTAAATTATTTTTTGAGTTGTATATATATAGAAGGTTTGCATCATATCTGGGGCCTCGGCTATCATTGCCAGATAACATTTTCTTAACACATTTTCTACAACAAAATGAAGAACATGCCTTGTGCCCAGATGTGTTTCTTTCACTGTAACTGGAAACAGTTCATCGGTCTGCCACACTAGTGGTGCAACCTGCTCATTTAAAATCATTTGCACATGCTGGTGAGTCAGATGGCGATCTATTTTTGAGGTACAAAATGTTAGAAAACAGAAAGTGGTTTCTGAGAGACAGAACAAAGACATCCAGTGCTCACAGCAATTATTTGTATATTTTTCTTTTTTCCCCAATCTTTTTCTTATTTACAGTGCCAATCATTTTGAATTATTTTCTGATGTTTCTAACTGACATTCCATTGTTTGTGATTAAAATTCTTAATTGATAGATCTCAGAATTTACAATAGATTGCTCTGATCAGAGTGATGTTAAGTATGCACATTAACATGCTGAAAACACACTGAAGAAATACTGATCCATTTTCTCATTTCAATTTAATGAAACACTAATTTCCAGGAATTTCTCACTTTTTTTTTGCATGATATACTATGCATTGGGGCGCATAACATAATACCTTTACCTAATAATTTCATTAGCCTCTACCTTAAACACTGCCAATTATGGAAATTTGCCATTTGGAATTACCTTCTTAATTCTGGAGTTTTACTGTGGCTTTTAATGACAGACACCAGACTTCAGAAACGGTTCAGAAATGGTTGTTGTGTCTCCCAAGTGGGTTCCATTCTGCATTGGTAGATGATGTGGTGCTCCTTATACAGTATGTGCAAAGTGTTTTGGGATCCTATGAAATGAACAGTGCTATGTAAGCGCAAGGAATTTTGTATTAACATTAATTTGTCTGGAATACCTATGTGTGAAATAGATGGATACAAATAGGTGAGAAGATGAAAGATACTACTTTTCTTAACAACAACATATCTGCAAACTACATGAAAATGAAAGACCAGAATAACAAAGTACTGTCATAGACGTTTTTGACTCCTGTAGGATTAAAACTGATGCTACCAACTGTAAAACTGTGCTTTGGTTCAATGAGGCATTGATTTGATGTTCAGTAGAATATTCAGATAGGGATCCTTTGCCCTTGAAGACCAGCATTACTTCATGAACTCAGCGAGATCAGTATGTGAAAGTCTTACAGCCCACCAGGAAAAGCTATGTATTCTTTTATTGACAGGTACAGCTCTCTTTCTCTATTAGCAGTTTAGACAGACAGTGTTGCACTTACTGAGCTCGGAAATACTGCCTACGCAGGTGGCGAGAAGGGACTGCTCCAATGTCCGCAGCTCCAGCTGTGCATAGGCATCCTCTCGGCTCTCCTGGATGGAGGAGCCCTCTGTGTAGGGGCTGAAGTGAGCAGGCAGGGACAGCACACCTGGAGTACAGAAATTAAAAAGCACAGGGCCAGGGCAGTCAGAGAAAGGGGATAGTCTGGTGCTGCAGTGCTTTATGAATTGTGGCAGAAGTGCATTAGTGTCTGAAAGACTGATGGACATGAGTCAGCCCTAGAATTCATATTAAACATTGTGTATTTAAACATGGAGTATTTGGTTTTAATAAAATGCTTTCTTGAAAGATTTTACATTTTAATCTTTATTGTACTGCAAACTTGAATTCAGCATTGCTGAACAATTCCCCCATTCCAGTTAAAGCATATCTTTATCAAATTAGCTCAATAAAATAATTGGTTTAAACCCAGCCCATAAGTGTACTGAAATTAAAGGTACAGTACACAGTATGATGAAACAAACATTTTGGTGCCTTATAATTCAATGGGAATATAAAAATACATCCGTTTGTGGGCTTGCAGACTATTACATTTACTACAGTGTAATATGTTTCCTGCATACAGTGCTCTTTCTGAGGTCTGGGATTGATCTGATTACAAAAACAGTTTGTGAAAGACCAATGCATATAAAGTTTCCCCATAGAGTAAGTAACTATCTCTCATTATTCTGGGATTAAGATAAAAATTTAATCAAATACAATCAAGGTCACAATTTGGTATTGCTAAAAACTTCAGTAAACCAAAATTGTTGGTTTAATTCAAAAGTAGTTCAGGTGGGTAGCTGCGTCAGCATGTGTAGGCTGCAAAGGCACAACAATAGGTTTATACAGTACCATGCTGAAAAGAGAAGAGAGAAAACAGAACGTTTTGGCTGTTGAGCCTTCTTCAGGGGTGTGGCTTCTAGAAACGTAAAAAAACAAACTTCCAGAGAAAGATCCCAGAACTGTTATTATGTTACTGTACGTAACCTTATCAACATTGTGAAAATGTTCTAAGAGGATATTTAGAACACAAGAAAGATTGCAGATAAGAGAAACCAATACTGCAATCCTCTACGTTAAAACAACATTTTACAGTCAACACACAGTCTACTTCACAGCATAGATTTTTACCTTTTTTCTTACTAACGCTTGTATTAAATGTCTCTGACATTACTGTATATGGTTCCTCAACACAAACAAAGCAACTGAAGATGGCTTCTAAGCTAAGGTTTGGGATGTTAATGACGTAATATACCATGTTTTACTGAAACCTCAGACATTTTAAAAAGATGCCTAATGAACCACTACAAAGCAAAGTTTAAATCCAATCTTTTTTATGAGCATTCATAAATGTAGCCCTAATCTTATGTGTGTGTAAACCTCTTTGTTAATTACAATAATTTTTAATCTAGTTGGGTGTTTATGCAAATCCTAATGTGCTTTTACAGCTGGAAAATGATTTCTCAGGGAAATTAATTGAAATGAGCAGGCTGAAAAATAAAACTGGACATGCCATTAATGGCACTGAAATCAGGAGACTTTATAGCCACACAAAACCATTTTATTTTCATTCCACCTTTGTGTTATTATAAATGTATTTGACTGACTTGAATGTACACACAGACTTGCCATTCTCAGCCTTTTATACTCTGTGGTATATTACTGAGGCCACAAACTGAACTATCTTTCTAAAGAGTACATGTCTCAAGTCTAGAGCCTTAATTGTACAGTATCTCCACACTGCTACCTCAACTTTCAACAAGCCTGAAATAATGATTGTCACTTTTCAGACAAAAAAGAATCTTAAGAAACAAGTTGAGTGCGCAATAAAAGACCCAATCTTTAGGAAAAATTACATTTCATTAATTTGGAAATGTCTGTGACACTCTCACCACTCCAATTCCCAAAACAATACCTACCAACATGAGATAATGAGGATCACTTAGGGAGTTAACAGGCATTTCCTCAAACAACATTCCAACAACAACTACTGGATATCTCTAAAAATTTATATATACACTTTATATATATAACTTTTTATAAATATAACACTTTTTTTCTGAAATCCTAGTAGTAGTTGTAGGGATACAAATTAACATTTTCTGTTTTGATTGAGGGGGTTCTGCTTTCTGAGTTATCAATTTTAGTACATAATCCAGACCTGGCTCTTTAGCACTGAAAAGTATGGTACTGTAACTCTGTGTTTTGGCATTCAATTAGAGGAAATTCAAGAAAAACGCCAAGCCACAGGAATGAGCAAGTTTTATTAACCATGGAAAATGAAACAAAAAAAAATACAAGCTTATTTTTTAGATCAATTATTATAATATTAAGTAACAACAAAATCACTCTCAAAACAAACCTCAAGCATCTGTCCTGATTAGTTTTATTTTTTAAGTGAGAAAATGTACCCCTGTCAGGCAAAATTCTGCACAAGCAGGCACAGGAAGGATAGTTAAGTGTTGATAATTACGATACAATACTACACTTGCATGGAAAAAATGACACTTCAGACTCAGCTATTCAGAAACTGCCCAAGTACCCCAGAAAACATCCACAAAAGGCCTGATATTCTTGTTAATCAGATGAGGCCCTTCCCCTCATTCAAACCTCCAATTTTGTGTTTTTTTTTTGGGGGGGGGGGATGTACAAACATTTTTAATATTAACTGTCATGGAAATTAGTGCCACGTCGGCACAAATATTTCTGAACCATACATTTAGCAAGAGAAGACGCAAACTGCTTGCTTACAGTAAACACTAACATTACATTTTCATAAAAGGCCAAATGCCTGATGTATTTATTAATTGCTACAGTTCAGCTAAAACAAACGCTAAACTGAAACCCACGGTGATCATACAGTATATTTAGTGTACCTACTCTATGTATAGATTGATTTATTTGCTGGTTTTGTATATCCTAAAAAACGTAAGCAAATAAAACACACCAAGAAGCCTAAATCCTATTTTCTTGTAGCACATGAAATCTTCAGTTGAACAATGTGAAGAATATATATAATTTATCTAAAGGTTATGTTCAGAGTAAATTCCATCTTTACATCTGAGCTTTAAGAGTTCCTGCCAGCCAGTGTAGATTCACTAAACTGTAAGGCCTCTCTTAGTGTGGTGCGCACAACACAGCAAATTGAAAACATGTTGCTGCGATTAAAAACACATTTGAGCTCTTTATTGTGACTTTGAAATACACAGAGTCAGTCATTTCTGTTAACCATTTCTTCCGTGGTCTCTGTGTGTAGAATGAAAGCCTTTCTCAGGTGCTGGCCTGTTAATCTGGCTGAGAGCTTTGAACCAGGGTAATGATTTGAAATGTGAGTGCCTTGTTGCATACAGGCAGTCATCACCAGTGCAGTGTTAAAACAACACAGTGGGACCTCTCACAAGGATCTATTTTAAGGGCTGTATTGAGTCTTGAAAGAGCAGGAGTGACTGTCGTAAAGAGGATCGGTACACCTTAAAACATTTTAAAATTCACCATCAATGCAGGAAAACGAATCCAGTTTAAGAGGCATTTATTCATGTCCCGTGGCCCATTTTGCTTGTTTCCATTCTATTTATTTTGTGTTTGTTGTGATTCTCCGTTGTTCGCTGTTTTCTGGCAGACTCAAAGTGAGTAAAGGAAGTTTAGTGTTTCACATGCTTCAGAAAACTACATTACAATTATTTGTTTCCTCACATTTTCAGATAACTGGCACTGAGAGGCTTTATTAACGAATATGCCTTTGATCTAATTATACTCTGAAAGACACCTGCACTATCACTTCTGGTTTCCAAACGACTTCACCCTTGGCTCCTTAGTTTCATGGATAGTTAAACTGAAGTTAACAACAACTGTCATCTGAAACCAAATTGATGCAGTTACACCTCAACACTGCCAAAACACAGCTTCTTCTTCTGTCCTGGAGAAACTGCACTTTTATTTTTCTCAGAAAAGCGTTGTTTACATCTAGCACTGACTTTTCCAAAGGCAAACTGTGAACTGCCTCCCTTTGAATTCAAGCTCCTCATTGTGTAACAACAATGCAGAAAGAGCGCAAACACTATTTGCTGACACCCATGTTCAACATAATAAAAAGGGCTTCACATGACAAGAGCTCCTATCAAAGCTTGCATGTGCTGAGCTGCCATTCCAGCAGGATAATCTTCCAGCACCACTGCACAGACCACCACAACCTCAGATTCACGAAATCCACAGACATAATTCCCATTATGTTTAATTAGCCAGAAATAATGAGCCTTAACCTACTTTCTGATAATCTCATAAAGACCTTGGGTTTGTTTAAAAAACTGTGGTTTTGCACTATATAGGTTTTCAGTATATTTTAACATTTCATTTAATAACTAAAGTTTAACAGTCTGGTTAAATGTCACATAACTGAAATAGATATTGAGCCAAACACATTTTCATAAAAATGGGTCAGTCATTTTTTGCACATTGGCACAGGATATCTTTTTAAATTTATTTAATATTTACATTTAATAGTCAAAGTAAAATGCTATTATTATTATTATTATTATTATTATTATTATTATTATTATTATTATTATTATTACTTTTCCACAAACAGTGATTTTGTGTGGAAGGTTAGAATACCCTTGAGTGGGTACTGGCAGATGCTAATCTTAACAATGGATACTGAGAATAATTAGGGTGATTCTCTCAAAACAGTAGACATGGGAAGGTAACAGTCAGACAGGCTTAAGCAAATCCCCTCACGTAGCAATACTGACTGTACAACCTGTTCTGGGGTTTACTCTAACACTGCCATCATGAGACTCTTTAGAGGGGTAAGGGCAGCAGGTGGCTACAACTAATGCTCGTCTACTAACAGTCCCCTTATTTTTGAAAATATATTTTTTTATCTTTAAAATAAAAATTTTAAGATAACAGAATCTAACACCTGAGAACAAGTATTGCAACACCTCTTGTCTAAAAGACATTATTCTTTGCTAGGTTTTCATACTCTTAAAAATCTTCAGAATGATTTTCTTCTAAAACGAAAGCATTTTCTTTCTATTTCAGAAATGGGAGTAGAAACGTAAGGCACATGGAGCTAGTCTGAAATCTGGGAGAGCGCAGAAATGAAGC